GACTTGTAATTGTTTATAATTTGCAAAACGGTAATTTTAATTGAAATTGCTTTCTTTTGGAATTCAACAATTGATTAATTATAAACCGTAGAATGTGCAAATATCCGAAACTATAATAGCATTTACTAATTTTGGATTATTGTGGAATTTAGAAATTACATTTTATGAATTAATTCCAAAATAGATTAGATTTAGCTGACGACATGAATTCAGATTTTGCAAATTGCACCATCCATTGCTTTTTTTTGGTTTGATAAAACTTTTGACTTGGAATCGTTTAGCAACCGTATTTTTAGAATTTTACACAATCCTAGGTAGCATAATTGTATTAAATGTTCGTCAATTTGCAAAACGGTAATTTGAATTGAAATTGCTTTCTTTCGGAATTCAACAATTGATTAATTGCAGAATTTACAAATTACATGTTATGAATTAATTCCAAAATAGATAATATTTAGCTGATGACGTGTATTCAGATTTTGCAAGTTCAGGGTGGCGAGTGAAAACGGTTTTTGAAATTCCCTGTCTTTTTCCTGACTTTTCCCTGTCTTATAAACCTATACGGGGCATTCTCCGTGAAATTTTCACTTAAAATTTTTTTTTATTAAAACAATTTTTTTCGAATTCTATATGAAAAATAAGTAAATACCTGTTTTTTAATTTTTTTATTTGATCAAAATTATAGAAATTGTGATTTTTTAAATTTAACGTCTTTAGAAGCAGATGAATTTTGAAACACTCTTTTCTCTGTTATATAACAAAAGATAAAAAATAACTTTTCTCAAAGCCAAAGTAATCGATTTTCGATTTTTTTCTTTTATTACAATCACTGATAAATAAAGAAATTTTTCCCTTTTATGTCAAAGTGATGTTCTTAAGGGATAAAATGATATTTAAAATTATATCAGTCGTTGCACAGAGTTTTATTCGACTTTTACACTTGTTAAAAAATTAACTTTCACCCAGATAGCACGTAATGTTGCAGCAAGCTTGTGGCAAGCTTGCCGCGTAAGATTGCCAATATTGCCGAGCAAGCTTGCGGCAATATTGTGGCAAGCTTCAAATGTTTGACCTACAGGAAGCTTGCCGCGTTAGCTTGCAGCAATATTGTCTTGTAAGCTTGCTGTAATATTGCACTGTAAGGTTGTGGTAAGGTTACACGTAAGGTTGTTGTAAGGTTGAGGTGAGGTTGTGGTAAGTTTACAAATTATGGAAAAAAATTAACAAAATAATTAATAATTTTAATAATTAATAAATATTAATTGAAAAAATGAATTTTGTTGCTCTTCTTTATTTTTGAAACCTAACATGAAGCAGAAAATTTTGAAAACAAATTTAGCGGCACTGGGATTCGAACCCAGGATCGACGCGCATAAACCTAATATCCTAAATAACTGAGCTAAGTGGGGAACTGAGGAAGAGAAACTCAATTTTGCTTTTAAGGAGTTAGTTAGCTTCTTGGTGCACCTTAATAGCAAAATTGAGTTTCTCTTCCTCAGTTCCCCACTTAGCTCAGTTAGTTAGGGTGTTAGGTTTATGCGCGTCGATCCCGGGTTCAAATCCCAGTGCCCCCAAGTTTGTTTTTAAAATTTTCTGTTTCATGTTAGGTATCAAAAATATAGAAGAGCAACAAACTTCATTTTTTAATTAATATTTATTAATTATTTAAATTATTAATTATTTTGTTAATTTTTTTCCATAATTTGTAAACTTACCACAACCTCACCTCAACCTTACAACAACCTTACGTGTAACCTTACCACAACCTTACAGTGCAACATTGCGGCAATATTGCCGTGCAATATTACAGCAAGCTTACAAGGCAATATTGCTGCAAGCTTACGCGGCAAGCTTTCTGTAGGTCGGACATTTGAAGCTTGCCACAATATTGCCGCAAGCTTGCTCGGCAATATTAGCAATCTTACGCGGCAAGCTTGCCACAAGCTTGCTGCAACATTACGTGCTATCTGGGCAATAACAAAACAAATAAATGCCTTACTAATGGAATGAAGTTATCGAAATTATGAAGTGGTTTAATTTCTCAATTTCTTTCACTAAACTCTGTGCAACGGCTGATATAATTTTAAATATCATTTTATCCCTTAAGAACACCACTTTGACATAAGAGGGAAAAATTTCTTTATTTATCAGTGATTGGAATGAAAGAAAAAAATCGAAAATCGATTACTTCGGTTTTGAGAAAAATCATTTTTTAGTCGTAATTTTAATTTATTTAATGTTTTCGCTTTATTAAAGTTAATTTTTTATTACATATTTGAAATATTCAAGAAAAAAATTTTTTTTGCATATATTATATTATTTTTAATCTTTTGTTATAACAGAGAAAAAAGTGTTTTAAAATTCATCTGCTTCTGAAGACGTTAATTTTAAAAAAAATCACAACTCTATAATTTTGATCAAATAAAAAAATAAAAAAACATGTATTTACTTATTTTTCATATAGAATTCGAAAAAAATTGTTTTAATTAAAAAAAATTTTGAGTGAAAATTTCATGGAGAATGCCCCATACATATCTATTAGTCATAAAAGCATTTATTATTTTCGTATGAAATAAAGTTTAAAATTAATTCTTTTTTAGCAGATATATTTGTGTCCTTTTGTGCATTGGACTTTATTGACAGTTTTAAGTGTATAACTAAGAATATTTACACTTCCTACAGCTTTTCCCTGACTTTAGATTAAGTTCCCTGTCTTTTCCAGATTTTTCAAATTCCCTGTCTATTCCCGGTTTTCCAGGTCGCTCGCCACCCTGAAGTTGCAACATCCATAGCTTTTTTTCTTGTTTTGATAAAACTTATTACTTGAAATCGTTTAGCAACCTTTTTTCTGGATTTTACATAAACCTATGTAGCATAATTTTAGTAAATTTTCGTCAATTTGCAAAACGGTAATTTGAATTGAAATTGCTTTCTTTCGGAATTCAACAATTGATTAATTATAAACTGTACAGTGTGCAAATTTCCGAAACTATATTACCATTTACTAATTTTGGACTATTGCAGAATTTACAAATTGCATCTTAAGAATTAATTTCAAAATAGATATTATTTTCCTGATGACGTGAATTCTGATTTTGCAAATTGCAACATCCATAGCTTTTTTTTGGTTTTGATAGAAACCTACGTAGTCTTAATTTTAGTAAATATTGGGTAAAGCTTTCTTTGTCTACTCCTGATTTTCGAAGGGTATTTTAATTTCATTCAAACACTATATTTTAAAAGTATATAATGATAAAAACAACACCTTAAAATAGTTTTTAAAAAAAATTATTTTTAAAAAAGTTATTAACAATTTAATTTTTTAACACCTTTTTCGAAAAAAATGAATTACTCGAAAACTAATCGACAGAATTCGATAAAATTTTAACCACTTAGTTACAAAATCTTTTTTTCTAAAACTTTAATTCTAGTTTTAAATTATCATGTAATTTGTTTAAATAATAAAAAATTTTTATAAACAATTGAAAATTTGAGCATGTTCTTAATGAGATAATTAAATTTTCTTCACAGCATTTTATTCCACGTAAAATGTTGAACTATTAGCAAGAAAAAAATTTTAGTGCCCGCATTTTATTTACAAAATAAAGCTATATTTTTTAAGCGCTATATTATTCGCTATATTGGATCTGCCATTTTGAATTTAATTTTATTTAAAATTTTCGAAATTATGTTTTAAATGCTTTATAAATGACCCGCAACTAACAAATTGAAACCAATTCAACGCATATAACGCGTCAGTGCGACCGCCCGCGAAACTGCACGCGCCATGTCTTTGTTACAGCGCGTAACAAAAATAGCTGTAATTTGTAAATAAAATGCGGGCCCTAAATTTTTTTTGGTAATACTTTCAAATTCTACCTAGAATAAAATGCTATAAAGAAAATTTAATTATCTCATTAAGAACAGGCTTAAAAACCATCGGTACACTTCAGAAAGCCTTAGCCAGATATAGATTATTATTTAATGATTTTATTCATTTGTTGACTCTCCCTTTATGATTTGAATTACATATCGTGCACGTGAACTACCTCGTGTTTATAGCATGTCTATTCCATATAATATATTTCCGAGTCGCAAATTACACTTGAACTGAATCTTAGTAGACTGAATTTGTAGTTTAATTTTTAATCTCCATACAACTTATCCAATTCCGATTATCAATCATTATTTAATTTAATCAACTGGAATGGCGTAATTTATATTAACGCCTTTTGAGTAAATCAAGAACCATACTATACACGCCGAATACTCGTTTCGGAATCCAATAATTAGCTGATGACAACGTCTAGAAATAAACATATGGACTCAGATGCGGCGTGAGTGTAGTTCTCCCACAAACATGTAGGGTATCGCCACCATCAGTTAATGTTTTGACTTGGTTCTTTTTAGTTGAAGGCAGGTATTTTTAAAATTATTAATGAAACCATTTTTTTGGTTGACATAAGCATTTTAAATATTTAAATCTACTAAGAATAAATAATTAAAATACAATTGCATGGTGTCACAATGCTGATGAGTAAGTTAATTATTTTAATTAATTAATTTTAATAAAAATCTGCATTTATATATCTTTTTAATTTAAATAATTTTTATCTTATTAATTTATTTTATCAATTTAAAGTTATATAGATAAAATAAAAATATGAATACATTCTTAAGGGCTGTTTTTTGTTAAAATATTAGTGGTTTTTTTGGAGGCCTGTAGTCTCTTGGATGAACCACTTTAAAAAAAATATTAGATTTTATTTAAGAAATCTCCTCTTTATCTTTTAACAGCATCAATTCGGAGACGTTCAATTCTTTTCTAGGCTGAGCAATGCCAGTTTGTGACCCACCAAACAACAAAACAACTTACATATTAGTATCATTTCTATGTAACATATGTAGATGTAAACTAGACGACAATCAATATTTATTTTTATTAAAGTTTGCATTGAAGAATATAAATTTGCATTCGTACAGCAGTTTATTCGAATTATCTAGTGAAACAAGATTATTCGAACTTTATTTTGTTCAAAGTCTAACATACGTCAGCAGAATGACACTATCACGTCTTCTAAGCAAGTTTTTCTACTTTGTATAATAACGTTCTTTCGCAGTGAAAAATGTATCAAGACAAAGAGAAAGTTATTGTATTTCACATTTTCTACATTTCTGCACAATTTATTTCATAATATATTTTAATTGAATTAATATTATTTTGTTACAATTGGATTTAAGAAAGGTTAGTTATATAACATACATTTGTTGACTTGTGCATAACACTTAATGGTTATAATACCTAAACAATTCTAGGTTAGTATACAAAAAGAAGTTTTAAAGAGAAGAAGAGTTTTAATTCTTCAGGACTTTGTATTTCTAGACCATCAATATTCTTCTTAACATCTTACTATTCTCCTAGGTAAGAGGAAATGAAAAGAATATATGTGCGTACAGTGACAAAAGATGAAGTTATTCCAAGAAAGAGAAAAAAAAATAAATTAAATTTTCTCTTCGACAATATTTTAATTAAAGATATTATGCAATATCGTGGTATAACAAATTACTCAGTAAAGAAGATACCCTACTCGCCCAAATCATTGTTCCGATTTTTCGTAAATCCTAACGGACTTGATAACAATCGCTATTGGTATTTGCGTATTAATAGCTTAATAAAAGAAAATCCAAAGGTTTTACACATTTATGATTTACCAAATAATACACCAACACATTTTATGAACTCATTTAATCAGCATCAACATCAAGATAAATGTATTTCTTCAGTTGATTGTAAAGTCGCTTATCAGAATGATCAGAAAAAAATAAATTTAACTAAATCTAGTCTTCAGTTTAACACGAATCAAATAAGTGCATATGAGAAAATTGTTGGATTATCATTAGAAAATGACTTTTCGGTTGTCGCTCTGGTGGGACCAGCTGGTACTGGAAAAACAATTTGTCTCAAGCAGTTTGTAGAGAAACAGCATCTATTTTCATACATAACTAGTCAAAATAATTTACTACAAGATGCAACAATAAAATTAGGTTTAAATTCGAAACGAGTTTTTACTCTTTGTCGATTTATTATGAATCTCTTCGATTTAAATTTTTATGAGCAATGTACTTTTAATAATCGTATTACTGGATATCAAGTGCAAAATTTTCCCCTTCTGTTTAATGAATTGCCTGTTTCTGTAAAATTTGTGAAATCATTGTTTTCAACAAATAATTTAGAACATGAGGATGTAACATCGACATTTATATCAGGAAATTATACTCTTTTTTTGTGCCTCGATGAATTTTCTATGATTTCTTATAATATTTTACAAACTTTATTAAAAGGGCTCGAACATGCTGTTAAAAGTTTAAATACAAACGATAACATTTATAAATCTGTTGTCATATTATCTGGCGATTGCCATCAAATACAACCAATCTATACAATGAAAAATAGTCTAGAGCGTCAAGAAAAATTAATTTATGAAAGTGAAACAAAAACATTGGAAACTCGTTATTCATATCAATATATTTCGATAAATTGTAGAAAAATTTTGAACTTGGTCAATGAGAAAATTTTCTTTTTTCAGCAATTACGTAATAAAGATGAAAGATACCATCAGTTTCTAAATCGAATCCTAATATCCAAAAAATGGCAATTAGAAATTATTAATTACTTTAATCGACGATGCCTTCAAAATCGAATTGATCTGCATTATCCAATCACGAGTGTTTTTGATTTATCGAGAAAAACTCAAAGTCCTTTACAATTGACTAAATGGTATCGACACCATGCACCGCATTTTAATTCATTCAACTATTTTACCTGGTGTAATGTAGATGCTCACTTTATTAATATGTCAGTATTCTATGCTATTTATCGTACTTATTTCTCTAAGCAGCAAAAAGAAACTACCAATTTTCAACCACGCCTAGCCCCAATATATTTTTACAGTAACAGTGATTTTCACAATGGTTATTATGATCGTGTACGATTACCATTTTTACCACTTATACTCGGCATGACGTACAAATTGCTCATTAATAAAGCAAATACCCTTTGCCGTGGACAGTTGTTAACTCTTTTGAAAATTGATGATTCATGCGGTGGTGTATTAACGTGTATTGATCGTAGTGAAAAGATTTACAAAGTCATGCCTACTTTCTTTACTATGAACCTCTTCTGCGAAGACGTATCACATTTTGTTTTTCAGAATATAGAGAAAATAGCAATTAATAACGAACACTATGCCCGCATGCAGAAATATGGTAAGCTGTTTGGGTATCCGATGCAATTGGTTTGTGGTGACACAGTTCGTGGAAGTATTGGTATCACAGTCGACAGCGACCTTTATATTAATCTGAGCGGTTGCAGCTTGGAAGAAATTTATGTTATTTTGTCACGAACGACAGATGAACGTAAAATTAAAGCAGTACTTGTATCTTAAAATGGAGCTCTGAAAGTAAAAATAATTTAATGTCCTGCGCTATAAGTACTCTATAAGTATAAAAAATAAGATCATACTGAATATAATCTGACTAATCAATTATCTTTATATTCTTATTGTAATGATTGTTATTAATCTTTATTATAAAGATTATTTTCAGTTATTATTAATCTTTCAATGTTTTAGAATGATTTTTGGTATTCACAATGAATTATATATTTTATAATCCAAAATCGAATTGAATTATAATTCGAGATTATAGAAACAGGTTCTTTTTCATATTGTCATTTAAGTTGTTAAAGTTGTTTTAAAAATAATATAATATAATAATATAATTTTCGAAGTTTGTAAATTTTTGCAAAAGTCATTTTTATAAACTTTACAAAATTATTATTCAGTCATAAGGAGAACACTTTGTATGAAGTAAACGTTTAAATTATCATCCTATCCTATCTACTTTGCTTAAGCTTCGGAACAACTGAAAAAAATCAATTTCTTTACATTACTTTCTGTGTCCAACCAGTACTTTCGAGAATGTGACATATTCATTAGTTTGATTGATTTTATGATCAATTGTCATCAGCAATGGCATGTCGCCCATATAATAAAATATTTGTCGTGCAGTTTTATTATACAAATAATTGTAACAATTAAAACTTTATTATGTTTTATTATACAATAATCCGCTTTTTTCAATAATAATAATAATAATAATAATAATTTCTTGTACATTATCATTTTGGGTGTTATTATTATACTTGATTTTTCTCTCATTAGCTTATTGTCTCAATATGTGATAAATGATCGGGATACCGGCCTCATCCATGATGCAACTTTTTTTGTCTAAGTATAAAAATGTTTCCGGTGACAAATTACCGTGTTATATCAAATTGATTTTATATTATTAACATTTTGTGTGTAAGGATGAGCAATGTTGGGATTGACGATGTTCCTCAGTAATCTCTTTATATGATCTCCTATGAGACCAATGATGAACACGTCAATCCTTGGAATATTTCCCGAATTATATAACATGCGATTGGAAACGTGTTTCTCAAAATCTGTCTCCGCATCTCTGAATAAACTCAGGCAAGTGCGGAGACAGTTTCTCTCAAAGATTCTTAATTTTTCCATATATGAGGGCGATATCCCGAACCATATCTGGCAACTATATGTGAGTATTAGGCGTATCAACAACAAATAGCATATTATCTTGTCCCTGGCATTCAGTCTGGATGACGAGAAGATATTTTTATAACAGAAAAAGGCTTTTCTAGCTTTTGTGATAGCTAGTTCTATATGAGTATTATATTTTAGACGATCGTCAATATGAATTCCAAGGTATTTTGTTGTTTTAGAGTGAAGAATTGTGTCAATGGAATCAGGTTTAGTAATGATTTTGAAATTATTCCAACATTCTATATTTTTCTTTGACATTTTAACAACTCTTGCTTTAACCCATGTTCGTTTATTTTGAACTCTGTAATCCCGTACAAAAACTAATTCATCTTGTTGAAACTCGATATTTCTATTACCTTCATAATTCTCAATTTGTTTATCTCGATTATTTTCATTTACTAGATCTCGCAACAAATCAAATCTAGTTCGTAACTCTCTATTCAACATTATCTTTGCCGGTGTTTCGTTTGTCGTACAATGTGGTGTATTTCGATAATATAACAAATAACGCAAAATCAAAGTTCTTTTTTCTACATTACAATTTCTATCATCAGAAAAAAAATTTTTAATACATTTTTGAAGAATCAGACGGCATTTTCTGCCGCACCATTTGTTGATGGATGTGCCGGCGCTGTCCTTACATGTTTAATACCATAATTTTTAATCCAATTTTGAAATTCTTCAGATGTGAATTGGCTTCCATTATCCGTAATGATTTTTCTTGGTAAACCAAATCGTGAACAAAAGTCTCTCAACTTTTCAATAGTTTTTGTAGAATCACATTTTGACATCTCGTAAACTTAAGGCCATTTTGAAAGCTATTAGATAACTCTTATAAATCTTGATCTAGTTTAGGATACCAAAAATACTGTGTTGCCAACAGCTTCATCTTACTAGCTCGAAAGTGAGTAGCATGAATTTCGTTCAACAGGTCTTCTTTAAACTTCTCTATGGAATAATCACACTCTGTATCCCCAAAACAGCAAACCGTTATCCATGCTGATTTCGTGTTTCCTCACGAAATAAGACTTCAAGGACTCCTTCACCTTATCAGGCCATTCCGACATAGTGTACAACAGCACCTTACTCAAGACAACATCCGTTCTTGTGATTTTTCTGATTAACTTAGCATCGATTGGTAACTTTTCCTCAACGTAAAAATTGAAATAATCTTCAGATTCTTCAGTCTTCAATTCTGCTGTCTCTAGTAGTCTAGACAGTCCATCAGCACTACCGTTTGCACTGCCTTTAATGTACTTAAAAGTATAATTAAATCCGCTGAGATACAGGGTCAATTTTTGCAACCACCCGGCTGCCATGACTGGAATACCCTTTTCCTCCCAAAAACAAGGCATGTAATGGCTTATGATCCGACTCCAAAATGAACTCCGTTCCCAATAAATATTGGTAAAATTTTTTAACTCCCCAATAAGTTGCCAGAGCTTCAATATGTATCGTTGCATAATTCTTTTCAGCTTTTGATAATGTCCTCGATGCAAAACAGACTGGTCTCTCTGCTCCATTGAAATAAACATGCAATAAAACAGCACCGATTCCATCCTCGTTGCCAAATGTAATAACTTGGAGCAATAACAACTCAATTGTTAATTAATAATAAAGACTTTATTATTTGTATATCACTGTGCGACTAGTCGACATACATGCTCAACAGCAACTGACTTGAATATATATTATTGTGCTGTGAACCGTTGTCAAGAAGGACTGTGCACGCGTGATCCCCGCCCTCATTGTCGAATACAGTTATGATCGCGGTAGATAACAATACTCTCGAAGCGTCATGTCATGAATATGGAAATTATTTACCGTTTGCGATTTTTCTACTTGTTTACTATCGTTGGCTTGTGTCGAATTTATTTTTAAATATAATGACGTATGATGACGACCGTTACATGTATTACAATGACCTGATTTGCATTCGCTTACCAAGTGATTTTTTCGCCAACAATTAAAACATAGACCTTTTTTTCTAACAATTTCCCTACGCTCGTTTACTTGAATTTTTTTTAAATTCTGTGCATTGATGCACTTGATGATTGTCATTACAAATTGAGCATTGCATTGACATCTGCGTATTTAAAAAAGTTTTCGACGATGGGTTATTGTTTGTTGGTGTTTGTTTGCTTGACATTTTCGAGGATTGTTGGTCGGAACACTGACTGAAAAAATTTTCCAAACTTCACTACCAAAGTTACTCAACTTTTACAATAGTAGTCTTTTCTTTTTATTTCTGATATTCTACCTCCTTGTAAATGGAAAAAAGACTTGGGAGATGAACATATTGATTAATGAAAAATTCTCGTTTTTTTTATTTTAAAAATATTACAATATATAAACAACGTTTTTTTGCAAAAATATTTGTGCGAATAATACTTGAATTTTTAATGTGGATTTTCAAAAAAAATTTCCGCTCGGAAACTCGTATGGAAATTCTTTTGACAATTTGTTTAAAAAAATTTCGGACAATTTTCCGAATGAATTCCGTACGAAATTCGAGCGAATTACTAACGAATTATTTATAACAAATTAATATAAAATTCGAATAGAATTCCGCATGAAATATCAGCTAAAAATTTCTTTTAAAACTTTTCGGACAAATTTCCATACAAAATTCGTACGAAATTCAAGCGAAATACTAACTGATTTCTTTTGGGAAATTTTAAGAAATTTCTGCTCGGAAATTCGCATAGAATTCCGCAAGAAATGTCAGATAAAAATTTCTTCAAAAAATCTTCGACTAAATTTCCAAACGAAATTCGAGCAGAATTTTTTAAAAATTTTCCAAAAGAAATCCGTTAGTTTGCTTGAATTTCGTATGGAAATTTGGCCGAAAATTTTTAAGTGACATTTCATGCGGAATTCCATACGAATGTCCTAGTAGAATTTTTTTATAAATTTTTCATAAATAATTCATTAGTAATTCGCTCGAATTTCGTACGGAATTCGTTGAGAAAATTGTCCAAAAATTTTTTTAACAAATTGTCAAAAGAATTTTCGTGCGAATTTCCATACGAGTTTCTAAACGAAATTTTTTTTTGAAAATCCATATTAAAAAATCGGGTATTATTATTATTTGGTCAGATTTCTGAACGAAATTCGTATGAATCATTTTTACCTAGATAATATTTATTTAATCTGAAAATTCAAAAACTTTCCATGGAACAATAACCAACATTTTGTTAAATTTAACTCAAGTCGGTTTTTTCGTCTTTATGTAATTGTAGACTGGCCGCAAGATTTGATTTTTAAAATTCCCTAACAAAAATTACCTAACTTTTGAAGAATTTTTCCAAACTCCTACTCTTCCCTGATTTGGTTTTTTCCTGACTTGTGGCCACCTTAATTTGGTGTTTGGAATCTTAGGACAGATACATACCCAGTAAAAAAAGAAGTATTGAGTGAAGCGTTTAGGAATTGAGTGAAGCTCTGAGCCAATACGGATTCGAGTAAAAACCGTATTGGGACGTTTGACTCAATCTTTTTTTCATCCGCCGAATACGGTCTTATTTTAGCATTAAAATTAAAATCACATGAGCAGAGTACACATTATAAATTGAAAGCACAATTGTCCTGGAATGTAAAAATGCCGATTTAGATAAGAAACTGTGAATATTTTTAATTTTTTGTTAAAAATTGGTAAAAGCAAAGTTTGACAATGCGCAACTGAATTTACCATGTGAATAAATGAAGTGGTAAGTTTAAATGGACGAAAAGAAATCTTCTGTTACCGACAGAAAGTTCCTAGAAAACAATGAAATTTCATTGTTTTGTTGAATTTACCACAATTCTCTAGGAACTTTCTGTTGGTAAAAGTAGATTTCTTTTAGTCCATTTCGTCCATTTAAACTTACCACTTCATTTATTCACATGGTAAATTCAGTTGCGCATTGTCAAACTTTGCTTTTACCAATTTTTAACAAAAAATAAAAAATATTCACAGTTTCTTATCTAAATCGGCATTTTTACATTCCAGGACAATTGTGCTTTCAATTTATAATGTGTACTCTGCTCATCTGATTTTAATTTTAATGCTAAAATAAGACCGTATTCGGCGGATGAAAAAAAGATTGAGTCAAACGTCCCAATACGGTTTTTACTCGAATCCGTATTGGCTCAGAGCTTCACTCAATTCCTAAACGCTCCACTCAATACTTCTTTTTTTACTGGGTATATACATGGGTGATTCTTTTGAAAGGGATCCTTTTTTGTTAGAATTACTAAAAATTCAAATTATTATTTTTTCTTACTTTTATTTTCAAAAATAAGTTTTGAAAATGTTTAAAGTTAAAAATATAAGTTGCGCAAAATTAATTTCCACAAATACGACCTTCAGCAACATTTTATTATCATGTGTTCTAGAGGTTAAATTATAACTTTTAAATTAATAGTTTCGTAAAAAAAACTCGGTAGGAATATTTTATTTTAAATAATAAATTGTTTTTTTTAATCTATTATATTTTTTGCTTGTATATTATATTTTTATTAAATAAATAATTTAATGTAAGGGTTATAACCCTTACAAATATCTATAGATATTTCAAAACAATAAATAAAAAGTTAAAAAAAAAGCCTATCAAATATAAAAAATGCTTCGCAAATGAATTGATAATTTGATCTCGTTTTTTCTAATTTAAAAAATATTACCTACAATTTTTGTAAACCATATTTTTAGTTTTAATCTTTAAATATTTTTCATAGATTACATATTATGTTTAAAACGTTAAAAAATATGATGTTATTTAGAAAACGAGACTTCGGAGATGAATTCGAATTTCTACTCTCTTAATTAATAATTTTAATAACTTTTTTATCTTATTTTAAACAAAAATAAGTGAAAATAAACGTTAGATTATGAACTTTAATTTGATTGTATATTATAAATATGTTAAAATTATTTAATTACCTTAAAATATCATTATAAAATATACCTGCTGCTTAACCAAAACTCGAAGACAAAATTAAATATGTTTTTTAACTAGAAAGAAGGATTATTGGTCCTTAAAGTTTAGTGAAGGAACTTATTAATGAGTTCCCTTCTAAAAATAAAATCAGGAATAAAGAGAAAACGTCAGAAATTTTGATGTTTTGTGACTACTTTGACGTTTCCTGAAGCTTTTGGTTAATTCTGACTAAAGGATTTTTTATGCTCCTGTTGAATCCTGATGTTTATGGATTGCGATCATTGAGCATTGAAATCTTTTTTTTTATTTACAGCCCCTCACCGAAATATAGTCGGTAAATGTAAAGTATCGTTAAAACTTGAAAGGGCTTAGGGGCTTAAGTGTGCAAAAACTGCCCCCGCATCTATTTTTCTCAAATTTGGCCCATATATTACTATCCATATGACTATAACTTTCTGCAATTTTGAACTCAAAATTCGCTTTTTTGGGGGAGTTATGGAGGGGGAAAGCAAAATCAAAAAACTTATTTTTCTCGAAAACTACTAAACCGATTTTAATGAAATTTTAAGAGGTTGTAAATATAGATAAGACGATTTTAGAAAAAAAAATCAAAATTTTTTTTCAGAAAAAATTTTCAAAAAAATTTTTTGAAATTTTCAAAAATTTTTTTTAGGGTTATTTTTTAAAGTGACCACTTTCTCTTTTGTTGTAAAAAGTACCTTATAATGTCCCCTTTAACATATATTTTTTCTAAATTTTTTAAAAATATAGTTTTTGAGTAAAATATCAAAAACCATGGTCATGCTATTTGTCACGTACGGTAATGCACATACTATATACATATGTGCAATTTCATGTGATAGGGTATAGCCAAATAAGTATGGAAAAAGTGAGCTGAATATATTTTTCCCATTCATTCCTACCCACTTAAAAATAACTTTTTAAAATTTTTAACTCAAAATTTTGAGTTTTTTGGAACTTATGGAGGGGAAAAGAATCGAAAAACGCATTTTTCTCAAAAACTACTGTATGCATTTTAATCAGCTTTGAATATGTTAAAAAGACCATTAAAGAGATTCCAAAAAAAATTTCAAATTTTTTTTTCAAAAAATTCCAAAAATCTTTTTTTTGAAAATTTCAAAATGAAATTTTTTGAAATTTTCAAAAAAAAAAATTTTTTAGTTCTATTAAAGTGACATTTTTATGTATTTTCTCATTTTATTCTCTTATGTGATCTAGTTAATAAAAAAATTTTGCCCGACATGATTTCAGGGTGTGTCACGGTAAATAACTCAAAAACCATACCCGGTACATTTTTATGTTATACGTAAATGGTTAATTAATTAATTATTTAATTACAAATTAATACTCAGGGGTTTTCTGAATACAAGTCTGAAATCGATGTTAAAAAAAATTGGGTCCAAAGAAAAATCCAAAAAATTTTATTTTGGCATTTTAAATTTTTTTCTTTTTGGATCGTTGAAGCGGTACATCACACTTTTTTTATTTAAATTTTTTAACAGTCTTACTTTTTAAAAATTAATGGCGATATTGAGATATTTAAAGTGTAACACGGTAAAAAAAACTCAAAAAATCCTAAAATTTTCCAAATTTTTTTGTTTGTCTAAAAATATTTTTTTATATCAACTTCAGATTTGTATTTAGCAACCTGAATAACGCACTAGTAATAAGCTGCAAAAATATTAGACAGGTTTTTTTAAATTAACCATTTACATACAACATAAAAATGTACCGGGTATGGTTTTTGAGTTATTTACCGTGACACACCCTGAAATCATGTCGGGCAAAATTTTTTTATTAAGTAGATCACATAAGAGAATAAAATGAGAAAATACATAAAAATGTCACTTTAATAGAACTAAAAAATTTTCATTTTGAAATTTTAAAAAAAAAAGATTTTTGGAATTTTTTGAAAAAAAAATTTGAAATTTTTTTTGGAATCTCTTTAATGGTCTTTTTAATATATTCAAAGCTGATTAAAATGCATACAGTAGTTTTTGAGAAAAATGCGTTTTTCGATTTTTTTCCCCTCCATAAGTTCCAAAAAACTCAAAATTTTGAGTTAAAAATTTAAAAAAGTTATTTTTAAGTGGGTAGGAATGAATGGGAAAAATATATTCGGCTCACTTTTTCCATACTTATTTGGCTATACCCTATCACATGAAATTGCACATATGTATATAGTATGTGCATTACCGTACGTGACAAATAGCATGACCATGGTTTTTGATATTTTACTCAAAAACTATATTTTTAAAAAATTTAGAAAAAATATATGTTAAAGGGGACATTATAAGGTACTTTTTACAACAAAAGAGAAAGTGGTCACTTTAAAAAATAACCCTAAAAAAAATTTTGAAAATTTTTTCTGAAAAAAAATTTTGATTTTTTTTCTAAAATCGTCTTATCTATATTTACAACCTCTTAAAATTTCATTAAAATCGGTTCAGTAGTTTTCGAGAAAAAAAAGTTTTTTGATTTTGCTTTCCCCCTCCATAACTCCCCCAAAAAAGCGAATTTTGAGTTCAAAATTGCAGAAAGTTATAGTCATATGGATAGTAATATATGGGCCAAATTTGAGAAAAATAGATGCGGGGGCAGTTTTTGCACGCTTAACCCCCTAAGCCCTTTGTGCGTAGCCCTTTTTTCACAATAGAATCGCGGGTCTATTGTTACGAGTTTCGGGTTTCTAACCTAATTTTTATTGCTCAAAAGTTTTTCATTTTTAAAATTTCAATATTGTTAGATGAATTCTAAGTCGATGAAAAACAAGTATAATGTTTAAATAAATATGAATATAAACAAATAAAAAGATTTCCCTTTAATTTTATGACGGTCAGTTGACCTTTTTCCAGGTAAAAAAGGGTGTCGACTTTGTATAAAAAACCTGACTACTTTTGAAGCTTTCTGATTAATCATGACTCAAGCCTGACGTTCTCTGGCTGCAATCGTAACAAATGCAGCCTAAAATCATCAGAGATTCTGACTTAATTTCTGTCGTTTTGTGATTTTATTTTTAGTAGGGTTGACAATTGTTTCGTGAAAAATTCTGTGAAAATTCAACTAGAAAGAACTTTAAATATAATCATTAGAAGATTATGCAAAGGTAGAGAAATCTTCGTAGAATATAAATAAATTTTTCAAAAAATTCAAACCTGATAGAATAGCAATAAAAAATTAATGTAAATAATGAATCTCATGATGGAAACACGTGAAGTGGTCCCTTTCAGGAGAATCACTCACATACAATTTTTTATAGTCAGTTTTGGAATTCTGGATGTTCATTTAATTTATGTAACAATTTTAAAAATTTAAGTAATGTACAGACAGAAGTGGAATTTTATTTACATAGTTGAATGGATTGTATAAAAAATAGTATTAAAATGTGTAAAATTGTATAAAAAATAGTAAAAATTTCTAAACTTTTCCGAAAAACATAGAATAAATTCCAAATAAGAGAAAACAAATGAATATTAAACTTGCAGCAACCATAAAAGATTGGCTATTTTTGCGTCGTAATCGCTTTAGAATATCTTCGTTCTTTTTTAAAACTTCTTGTACTTTTTCTAATTCATGTTCTAATTTCTCACGTTCATCGATTGTCAGTAATTTGCTGTGAAGCTTTTTCTGAATTTTATCAACTCGGTCCCAAGTATCTTTTATAATCTCTTGACTTTGTTGTATCTGCAAAAAAAATAATAGGTACAATAATGATTTTATGTTCGGTATATAGAGGTAAATGTTTCGATTAATAAATAAAATCCTATTTTAGATTGTAATACTTCTGCATATATTTCATATAAATAAAGTATTTAAAAAAATTAAAAATCATAATTTAATTTTTAAATTTAAATCTTCCTGTAAGTTGATCGAGTCGTTCAGTAGAAATTAACGGATTTTTTTAATAAAAAAAAGAAGTACATTGTTTGTAAAGAATTATAAATTTATTAAATTAAAGTACGTTAATGTAACATAATGTGCAGAATGAAATATAATAAACTTTATAAATAAATTTACTTTTTCGCTTGGAGTTCAAGATACGTTTTAGTATTTTTACATTAAAATTTAAAATAATGTTTGTTAAAATTTGTTTTTGATAGGCTTACTTTCATGTTATAATTTATGTTTAAATATAATTATATTTTTTTATATTATATTTATGTTTTAATTTATTATAACATGTTATAATTTAGAAAGATTAGATTTAGAGCTTATAAATTTCTGAAAAAACTTTGCACGTAAAATAATTGTATTTTATAATAATAAGTATTTTGATGAATATTGTACGGAATTAATTACCTTTTCCATTACACTAGATGTCTCAGTCATTTTGTTAAAAGAGTTTTTCACAACAAAATATTCGTCTAATTTGTGGCTTATCCTTCACTTCATACTACTTGTTCATGTAAATAAGTATATTATTGTTTTTTAAAATTTAAAAACCTCCAATATGGAATTTAGGGAATAGAAATTAGGCTGCTTAAGTTCATCGATATTTGCGAGTTCGAGATATGACGTCAGATAGCTGGAGGGACGACCAAAAGCCGATACTACGGAAAACAGAAGACTGCACGGTTACGGAAGCATGTACGGTTCACAAGCGTCTCGGACGCAAGTGTACGGAAGCTTCTACGCGCCACCATGCGGCACTCACTCGTGTTGTGCGGCACGTAGAGAGGAACCGGCCTGTTCGTAAGTTCCTTGATGCGTGCCTCCCTACGTGCCTAGTAGCGTTCCTAGTTGTAGCAGAAGAATTTTGAAAATATTTTGTTACTGAGTATTTTATTTATGAAATTGGAATAAATCTAATGAATTATGTTTTATTAATATTATTTCAAGTCTTTTATTTTGCATATATTGTCATTGGTTTGCTCGAAAATTACAAAATTTCAATTTAATACCTTGACATAAACATAACCGCAAAGTAAAAAGTGATTATTTTGAATAGCAAATAAAACTATATAATTTAAATTTATTTCAACAATATCAATTGCAATGTTTCTTGTAATTAAGATGTTTTGTTTGTATTTAAAGTCGATCTCTGTAATTATAATTAAGAAAATTTTAAGGTTTTGGGGTTTTGGTAATTTTCTATAAAAAATGAAAATTAGGTACAGTAGGTTTCAATTATGCCTTCTTAGTTTGAACGTGTCGCACTCATATGTTTCCATGGGAATTATTGCATGGTAGAAGTTAAATATTTTTTTAACGTATTCGCTCAAGCAAAAATATTTTCTATTTTAATTAGCATTTTGGAAAAAAATTTGATATTACACGTGTATCTTGCACTATTTTGGGGTATATAAGCCGCCATATTGAATAAGCCACGCCCCTATGTCAATTCCCAGCGGAGTTATATATAAAATTGATTTTTTACTGATTATGACAATGAATATAATAGGCTTATTTTTCATTGTATACTGCCAAAAATACTTTATCATAGGTTGTATAATTATTTGAATAAAATATTTTGTTAAAAATTTAAATTTCATTTACATTTATAACCATTCAGAATTTTTAGTCTATTTTAGATCAACGCACAATAGGTTCGCGAACGTGAACCATGAGATAGAAAAAGATAAAAGTATATTTCTGTCCTTTTCTAACTCATGCTTTGCGTTCGTGAACGATGTTCGCGAAGCAGTTGTTCTTAGGCCTTATGAGCTAAGAATAACATAGAAAGTAAACTCACTGCTTTAGGCTGGAGTCCCATGACAGCGTTTTGCGTTGCGTTTTGTAACTAGGCCATGAGTATGAGAGAGACAGAGATATATGTTTGCTCTATTTGCACTCATGGCCTAGTTACAAAACGCAACGCAAAACGCTGCCATGGGACTGCGGCCTTAGGCTGGAGTCCCATGGCAGCGTTTTGCGTTGCGTTTTGTAACTAGGCCATGAGTGCAAATATAGCAAACACATATCTTCATCTCTCTCACACTCATTGCCTAGTTACAAAACGCAACGCAAAACGGTGCCATGGGACTCCACCCTTAGGGTGCGATCCCATGTGAGCAGAATACGTCGACCAAAAGCAGAAAATCATCAGAGTGAAAAGAACAACAATATCTATATATCTCTTTTGCACTCATGATTTTCTGCTTTCGGTCGACATATTCTGTTCACATGGGATCTCACCCTTCGGGTGAAGTCCCATGGCAGCGTATTGCGTTGCGTTTTGTAACTAGGCCATACAAAAGCGCCTACGCGCCACGAGGCAAAGAGAGGAAACCTGTTTCTGCTAATGTCGTTTTAGCTTGTGAAACATATAGGAACACGTTCAATGGTTCGCTGGTTCGGTGGTTCGATGATGTGATTGTTACTAAATAAAAAATTTAAAATAAGAAATAAAAATAAACCAAATTAATTTAAATTGACAATTTTAATGTAATAAAATACTTTTTAGGTATTATTTATAACAGATATTAATTACGAGGTAAATTAGATGCTTAAAAAAAATCATATATTTTGAGGTTATAAAATGTGTTATGAAAAAGTAATGGAAAAAGGTCAACATTAGGCCTTAAATGTGATAACATTTTATAACCTCAAAATATATGATTTTTAAAGCACCTAATTTACCTCGTAATTAATATCTGTTATAAATAATACCTAAAAAATATTTTATTACATTAAAATTGTCAATTTCAATTAATTTGGTTCATTTCTATTTCTTATTTTAAATTTTTTATTTAGTAACAATCACATCATCGAACCACCGAACCAGCGAACCATCAAACGTGTTCCTATGTTTCACAAGCTAAAACGACGGTAGCAGAAACAGGTTTCTTCTCTTTGCCTCGTGGCGCGTAGGCGCTTCCGTAAGGCCATGAGTGTGAGAGAGATGGAGATATACGTTCACTATATTTGCACTCATTGCCTAGTTACAAAACGCAACGCAAAACGCTGTCAAGGGACTCCAGGCTCAATAAAATTCTAAGGGCGGTATTCATAGTCCCAACTTAAGCAAGGACTTAAGCTTTGCTTGATCAAGTCGGTCTTATTCGAATGAGTCAAGCTTAAGACCATATGTGACTGTCCACGAGAAAACACGGCTTAGCTCCCAAACGTGAATTTCACAGGGCGAGCGATTGAAGTACTACGATTGAAGTTAACTACGCTTGACATACCCATCTTTAAAACGATATATTGTCGAAAGTAATTGATATTTTTAACTTTTGACTTTTGCATTTGAAAAAGCAACATAAAATCTGTCGATTACCTTAAAAAACTCAAATTGATTTTTTGGACCTAAGCCGTGTTTTGTCGTGGACAGACACATATGTATTCATAGTCAAAAATAAGCAACTGCTTGGTAAAGGAAATACACCTTAAGAATTGCTTGACCAAGCAAATGCTTAAAGGCCTAAGCACAACTGTTCGATTTCGGGAGACGGTTTCGGGATATGGGCTTCCTAACCTCAAAATATATGTAAATCTTACATATCCCGAAACCGAACCAGTTGTGCTTAGGCCAGATCAGAGATGCCAACGACCGTCCCCAAACGCAACTGCGCTTGCGCTACAACAAATGCTCTTATTGGTAAAATAAAACTTGTCCATTAGAATGCATTATATATAAAACATTTTAAATAAACGCGCTTTTTCTAACCAATAAGAGCATTTTTGTAGCGCAAGCGCAGTTGCGTTTGGGGACGGTCGTTGGCATCTCTGCTTAAGATGATCTTATTGAGCGTTCGGCTTTTTCCGTCAATATTCTCTTGTATCTACCAATAAGCGATGGTAGATAGCTTATATTCATTAGAAAAAATGACGCTAATGCACATCAAATATCTGATAAGGGAGAGGAGGGGGGGTCAAAAAACTTAAAAATATACAAAATATTTTAATATTTTTAGGAAAAAAGTTATAAAGTAAAAGGAAACAAGAAATGACAACCACCCAGTAAAAAAAAAACTAATTCAAATGAATTGAAATGAATTAACATTTTTGGTAGGCTCCAATTCGTATTTGTCACAAAGCGGGATTCACTCAAGCTCTTTGTATATTCAATTGAATTTAATTCAATATGTACCAATTTGTCCAAACGAATTCGCATTCGAAAGAAATGGCCAAGGAATGCATTGAATTCGTGCTAACGAATTGAAAAAAAATTAAAGGCTTAAAATTTGTCCAGTGAATTGGTACGGATAGAAGGTTCGGAAGTTCAATACAGTTTCACGAATTCAGGAAAATTGCATCATGGCTCCAATTCGTATTTGTCACAAAGCGGGATTCACGAAAGCTCTTTGTGAATTCTTTTTAATTCATTTCAATTAGTTTTCGTTTACTGGGCAGAATGATGAAAAATTGAAATATTCTTATTCCTGACGAAACATTATATTTAGATTCTAAATTTTTCTGTATTAAAAAATAGAAATGTTTTTTTTGCAACTCTTTATAAACAAAATCTTATTTTTTCTAAACCAATGAACCAAGAGTGCATATACAAAAGGGGTGAAACAATTAACTTTCATTTGGAACTAAAATTTTTAAAAATAGTATTTTTTAATAATGATTTATTATTAACAGTTTTATTTCCTCATAGGGTGTCGATTTCCTTAGAATCAATTATTTTTACAAATTTTCAAGTGTATAGCGTATATAAATATTTCAACATGGGGAACAAATTCTCCGGATGTATGTGCGTGGATGCATATCGAAAAGTTTTTTCAACATTTCGATGAAAAAAAAATACTTTTTATTTCTCGTGAAAATTTTATAAATTTTGAACCTTTTTTTTAAATTATTAAATTTTAATTATTATTAAATTGTTTTTAATCAAAAATCTTTTCATTTTTATTATAAACATTTATAAAAAGACAATAAGTAATTGCTTAAGTCATTTAAAACGTTGACTTAAAATCATAACCTCAATTCGTTCAAATAAGATCATCTTATTTGACTATGAATACTTGGCATTCTTAAGATGGGACTATGCATCTCAAAATCGAAGCATTTACTTTGTCAAGCATATGCTTAAGTTGCGGCTTAAAGGTACCGTCCCATGACGGCGTTAAAGCGTCGGCGTAAAGCAGAAATCGTGCGATAGAAAGAGATGAACAGATATAACGTTCTCACTCTCTCACATGGTTTACGCTTCACGCCGACGCTTTCACGCCATCATGGGACGGTACCTTATGCTGGTTCCACATATACAAAACGCGCGCGTATCGCGTAGAAGCGTAAGGCTTGCGTATGCGTATAGTATATAGAGTCGGTTCTACAATGGGCACGTCGGACGTGGACGTCTGACGTACCGTGCTGACGTCACCCATTTGAATAGCATGGGTGACGTCAGCACGGCACGTCCGACGACCACGTCCGACGTGCCCATTGTAGAACCGACTTAGTATACTATACGCATACGCAAGCCTTACGCGTCTACGCGATACGCGCGCGTTTTGTATATGTGGAACCAGCATTAAGGCAATGCTTATTGCGCGACTATGAATCTAGGTGGCAGCTTAAGTCGCTGCTTAAGAAATAAGTATCGACTATGAATACCGCCCTAACTTTTGAAATTTTTACCAAAATGAGACGTCTCCAGGGGGTGCTACTCTCTGTACCAAAAACATAAGTTCGAATGCTCATTATGCCGAATTTACAATTTAGAAATGACCAGATACGCGAATCCTCAATAACCTAAATTGTATATTGAATGAAATTCAAAAGTAGGGAATAATCATTTGATATATTCTGCATATGGAGAATATTATTTTAAACTAATTCTTTTTTTCCACAATTTGAAATTATTGCAATTTTTATTTTTGGAATTTCCACTTTACCTACATTTTAATAGATCGAAACGTAAAATATCAGAATTGACATTTAATTGAAATATGATGGAGAATAAATATATATTCACTGAATAAAAAGATTAAATAATTATTAAATGTTTGAATTTAATAAAAACATATTGTTCAAAAGTTACAGTGCGAATTGTACAGAATATATATTAATAAGAAATATAATTTGGCAGAATGTCGATTCGATCGATTTTATATTTGCAAGAAATTCAATTTGACAGAATATCAATTTATAAGAAACACGTTTTCGTAGAACTTTAACTTGTCAGAATTGTAATTTTGTAGAATATTAATATTGGCAAATCTAATTTTGGTAGAAATCTGCTTTATCAGAATGATCACATGTTCGAATCCTCAAAAGTTAGAATTCCATTTTTACCGAAAATGGATTCCACATAAATATTTGGCGCAAATTTTAAAATTCTGATTTCTGATTGGTCGATTTTAAAATTTGCGCCAAATATTTATGTGGAATCCATTTTCGGTAAAAATGGAATTCTAACTTTTGAGGATTCGAACATGTGATCATTCTGATAAAGCAGATTTCTACCAAAATTAGATTTGCCAATATTAATATTCTACAAAATTACAATTCTGACAAGTTAAAGTTCTACGAAAACGTGTTTCTTATAAATTGATATTCTGTCAAATTGAATTTCTTGCAAATATAAAATCGATCGAATCGACATTCTGCCAAATTATATTTCTTATTAATATATATTCTGTACAATTCGCACTGTAACTTTTGAACAATATGTTTTTATTAAATTCAAACATTTAATAATTATTTAATCTTTTTATTCAGTGAATATATATTTATTCTCCATCATATTTCAATTAAATGTCAATTCTGATATTTTACGTTTCGATCTATTAAAATGTAGGTAAAGTGGAAATTCCAAAAATAAAAATTGCAATAATTTCAAATTGTGGAAAAAAAGAATTAGTTTAAAATAATATTCTCCATATGCAGAATATATCAAATGATTATTCCCTACTTTTGAATTTCATTCAATATACAATTTAGGTTATTGAGGATTCGCGTATCTGGTCATTTCTAAATTGTAAATTCGGCATAATGAGCATTCGAACTTATGTTTTTGGTACAGAGGGTAGCACCCCGTCTCCAGCCACTGGATCTCTCTCACACGCATGGCCTAGTTACAAAACGCAACGCAAAACGGTGCCATGGGACTCCACCCTTACCTTATTATTTACCAATTGTGAACGTAACCGCAATGACGGACTGGAGCGATGATAGATTCACCTTTACGCTTCCTGATCATATGGATTACATCCTACCTGAACAACCTTGTGTATTTATCCATGCTCAGATGTAAACAGTTTTCCTAACCTAAAGTGTCAAATAATAAAATGTAATGTTTATTCTTAATAATTTTAATGCTATTTTTCCTTTAGAATAAATTTCACAAAAATTTGTTTTTCTTTGAAGAAATATGAGAAGACGTTGATCTTTCTCATCATCATATTTATTTCCATGCAGTTCAAACAGATATTTAACTTCATTCACAAAGAAGATATTTTATTGGAAAAAGCAATAATTGAATGAAAACCTTTTTACATTTGTTATCTTAGGTTAGTAAAAATATCTATTTATAATATTAGTTTTTTAAAAACAACATGTTCTGTTTGTTGCTTTAATTTATATAATTTTAATTTATTTACATTTACAAGTTTTATTTACATATTTATTTATAATTTACATAAATTCTTATGTAATTTTTGTTTGAATTATGCAGACTATTTTTTAAACTTTTTTCCTGTTTGTAACTAACACTAAACCCTTATTTTTTTATCTAATTACAAATTTTCATTCAATGGAATTATTATTTTATGAAATTTAATTATAGGTTCATTCTTATTTAACCAAATTTTACTTTAATTTAATTTTCATTTTCTTATATTTATCAAAATTGTCATTTACCTGAGTTTGCATTTAGATTGAATTTTATTTTTGATCAAATTTTTATTTGACGGAATTGTTTCTTGAATTTTTGAATTCAACCACTTTGCATATGATGAAAATTCTAATTTAAAAGTATTTTTTACATTGAATTTGTATTTTTACTGTTACCCAATTTTTATTTAATATATTTTACATTTTGAAGAATTTTTTTTCTGTTGATTTTTCATGTAACCTAGTTGCCATTTGCAATTTTTTTTTGTATTATTTTTATTTCAAGAAAAACAATCGAAAAATACTATTTAGTCGTTTTATTATTTGTATTAATTTATTATTAACTACTATTAATTATTCTTATTTATAGGGGATTTGTACGTTATGGCTTCCGCTTCAAGTACAAGTGCTCGTAGTTTATTTATCGAATCAAAGATGCGATTAGCAGACAGAGTTCAAGTTAATGTTAATAATATTGCATCTTTAGCGAGACAAATACAAAGAGCATCTAGAAGTAGTGAAGTACGTATATATTTCATGAAATGTTAAAAACCTTATATGTCCTATATTTAAAATTTTTATTTTTTCGTTGAGGTTCGAATATAAAATTTTTTATTTATAAATATTTTCTCATATTTACCTCTAAATATTTTTTGAAACCATAATTGAAAATTTAATAATTATTGAGATTTTGGTCTTTATTCAGGGCTCCAACTAGTGAAAGTATTTAAAAATACGAACTTTACAAATGAACTTTTCATTTTACTTAAATCTAGAAAATAAATTTTTCATAACCATAAAACATGAAGATATCGATAACTCCGAGTCTTCGACTCGGAGCGATCGATCTCTTCATGTTTTATAATAATTAAAGATGATTGAGTAATAAAATCATTTTCAATTATTATTCTCAAGAATTTTTAACTAAAATTCTGATTTAAATCGAATTATTATTAATAATTTCCGGAAAAGTTCTTTGTCAATTTTTAAATCCATTTGTTTAGAATATTCAATTTTACGAAATTTCAATTATTAGTCAATTCTTCAATTAAATATATATTAGAAAATAAAAACTTTAAATAATTTTTAAAGAAAATCCACAATTGAGGCTCCGGATCTTAAAAGGGCACACGCGCGAACACACGGCAAATAATTTGGCCCCTGGAGATAAAATTTTGAAGTTGTTCAAAATGAATTTTAAATTATTGTTTCTTATACAGAATTTCAAGGCGAAACTTTTTTTTTAATAAAAATTTTTTATATAATTTCTCGTTTTCACGTAAATTGAAAAAACGTGATTTTTTAAGTTAAGAAATTTTAATGAATTTTTGACTTCAACTCGTGACTACTTCGTTAAATATTAATATTTTTCCACAAAATTTACACACAATATTCTTCAAACTATTCCAAGAGTGAAACAATATTTGGAAATTTAAAAAAAAATTGTATGTCAAAGTAAATAATTATTTAAATAATTTTGTCGGAAAAATGATTCTCCTATTTTCAATTGAAAAAGTTGAGTGACGAATTTTCGTTTTCGGAAAACTTTCAGCGACAAAAATGTTCATTAATATGTTAGGAAGTTTTTTGGAAAATATCTCGCCATTTGATAATAAATTAAAGACAATAGAGCAATTTTAACATCGTCGCGCTCTGCTGTAAAATTGCGGCGTGGCGGCACACGTGTAGCATGGCCGCCATTACAAGACCAATGTATATATAGTTAGACATTGTTTACGTTTACAGCAGAGCGCGACGATGTTAAAATTGCTCTATTGTCTTTAATTTATTATTAAATAGCGAGATATTTTCCAAAAAACTTCCTAACATATTAATGAACATTTTTGTCGCTGAAAGTTTTCCGAAAACGAAAATTCGTCACTCAACTTTTTCAATTGAAAATAGGAGAATCATTTTTCCGACAAAATTATTTAAATAATTATTTGCTTTGACATACAATTTTTTTTTTAAATTTCCAAATATTGTTTCACTCTTGGAATAGTTTGAAGAATATTGTGTGTAAATTTCGTGGAAAAATATTAATATTTAATGAAGTAGTCACGAGTTGAAGTCAAAAATTCATTAAAATTTCTTAACTCAAAAAATCACGTTTTTTTCAATTTACGTGAAAACGAGAAATTATATAAAAAATTTTTATTAGAAAAAAAGTTTCGCCTTGAAATTCTGTACAAGAAACAATAATTTAAAATTCATTTTGAACAACTTCAAAATTTTATCTCCAGGGGCCAAATTATTTGCCGTGTGTTCGCGCGTGTGCCCTTTTAAGATCCGGAGCCTCAATTAAACTTTTTCATCAAAATTAATTTCAAAATTAAATTATTTCTTAAAATTAATGCTATATTGCTTTTAATATTCAATTATTATCGAAAATTTTAACTGAAATTCAATTTTTAAATAAATTTTTATTATAAAATTCGACTAAAATTTAATTATTTAAATAAAAAATAAATAATTTGAATGTTTCTTAAAATTCAATTCATATAAAGAATTTTATAAACAAAATTTTAAATAATTGGATTCTTTTGACAAATTTTAATAAAATTTTTAAGAATAATTACATTTTTCGAGGAATTCGATTAAATTTGTATTAAAAATAATTCAATCCCTAAGAAGAATTTTATTAATTTTAAACAATTTTTAATTTTCGGGAAGAATATTATTTCTCTTAAAAATAATTGATTTTCTGCAATAATTTGAAACTTTTCCAAAATTAAATTTTTTTCGTGTTTTTAACTAAAATTCTTCAATGAATGCATTATTTTTGAAAAAGTTCTTTGAGAATTTTCCAATTCATTTTTAATTAATTTAATAATAATAATAATAATAATAATAATAATAATAATAATAATAATAATAATAATAATAATAATAATAATAATAATAATAATAATAATAATTAGAAATAATAATAATAATAATAATAATAATAAACTAATTCTAAAATTCAATTTCACAAAATTTCAATTATTCGTAAATTCTTCAATATTAAATACCTATATATTAGAAAATAAAAACTTGAATTAATTTTAAAAAAATCCGACATTAAACTTTCTCAAAAAAATGAATTTAGATTTTCAAAGATTTTAATTTGAAACCTTTTCTAAATTCATTAATTTCTAAAAATTTACGCTCTAATGCTTTGAATATTCAATTATAATACACACTCAAAAAAAAGTTTTACTTTCAGCCTCTTTTTGAGACTGAATTTAAGTTGTAAATGGAGTCAGCCCCGTTAAACAAGGACATACTTATGTAAAATACATGGGGTGAATTTAAGGTGTAAACGGAGTCAGACTTTTTTTCCTGTGTATAAAATTTTAACTGAAATCCATTTTTAAATCAATTTTTATTAGATAAATCTTCTAGAAGTCAATGATTTAAATACAAAAAAAGCAATTTATTTAATGTTTACATGTTTCTTAAAATTGAATTCTCATAAAGAATTTTATCAATAAATTTTTAAATAATTGAATTCTCTTGATGAATTTCAATAAAATTTTTAAGAATAATTAAATTTTTCGAGGAATTGGATTAAAATTGTATTAAAAATAATTGAAATTCTGCAAATAAGTTTTATTATTTATGAAAATAATTGAATTTCTAAAAAGAATTTTATTATTTACGAAAATAATTGATTCCCTGTAAAAATTTTATTATTTTATAAAATTATTTAAAGGTTTAAGTAGAATTTTATGAAATTTTTTTTAAATAATTGAATTTTGGAAAATTTTATTAAAATAGATATTAAAAATCATTGAGGAAACTTTTAAAAATAATTGAAATTTTTCTAAAATTCTCCAAATTATAGCGAACAATTTACGAACTTTTCGTCTTTTCTCAATCAAATTATAGACTTTACGGACATTTTTTCAAAAAAACTGACTTCAAAGAAAATTTACGGACCTTTACGGGATTTACGGACCTAGTTCGAGCCCTGCTTTATTTTAATTTATTAGGAATAAAGTAGTTCTCTTATAAACTTATTATTTTATTATTTGAGTTAAAAAATTTCTTTTAATTTCGTGGTCGAAAGTTCAATTTAAATTGTATAATTTCTGTTCATCTTATTTCAATTCTCATAAATGATTTTAACAAAAATCTGTTTTAAATCTTTTATTTTTATTTTCATTTCTATTTTTCTAAAGTATTATGTTTACAATAATATCACAGGCACACAAAAAAATTTGTTCTGATCTAGGGGTCTGACTATAGATTAACATCAAATTACGATTAATTTAATTTGGTATTACAACTTGATAACATTTTAAAATACCAGGTTTTAAAAAAATTAATTAAAAAAATTTGAACCGAAAATTTGTCATAATTATTTATATTTGGGTGATTCTCCTGAAAGGGACTACTTTACGTGTCTCCGATCTGAGGTTCATTATTTGTATTAATTTCTTATTGATATTCGCTAAAATTTGAATTTTTTGAAAAATTTATATTCCACGAAGATTTATCTATTTTTTCATAATTTTCTAATGCTTATATTAAAAGGTTTTCTTAGTTTAAAAAAATGTTTAATTTTATCTTCAACTTTTGGTAGAATATCATACGTAATATGTATATAAATATAATTATATTTTAACATCATTAAATAATTTCAACAGTATTTCAAGATTGAACCTAAAAATATTATTTACTTTACATTGTAATATTTTTAAATTTAAAAAAACGGGAATTTTTCATTAATTATTGATCAATTTATTTCTGAAGCCTTTTTCATGTTTTTTAGGCGTTATATAATACATATAAATAAAAATTCATTTTATTAGAGGAAAAAACTAGAAATTTTAGTGAACATTTTGCCAATTTGAATATTTCTTTATATTTTCTATTCATTCCATTTTTAGATCTTGATGCATTCAGTAAAAAGTTTTACGCAGCAGGAACACGGCTTAGAAAATTCAACAAATAATTTAAAAAAGTTATCGCTTATTACGACTCACTTTGAATACCAATTGGATGCTATTGATCGAAGTTGTGCGAAACTGGAGGAAGTCACTGAACAAGTGAGAGCAATGCAACGCTGATCTAAATTTATTCGTCCTTTGTTTTTGTTGTTGTTTTTGTTTCTTTATTTATTGTTAGTTAAACTTATTTTTCATAAACTTTAATTTATCTTCGTTATTTGTTATATGTTCTTTGTAAATAATTATATATTTTTGTATGCTTTCCATTATATATTTCTTTTACAATATTTGTAAACACTAAATTATATAATAAACGTGAATTGAGTTATATTAGTCTTTAAAAAGGAACCCTTTTTCCTTACATATTCCTTAAAGATTTGTGGCAGATTTAATTAAGACGAAGCCTTAGAGTAAGTCATTTTTACTGCTGGTAAATACCCTATTAATTCAACAGAATAATTTTTTTTAAATTTCAAAATTTATTTCAATATTAGTCAATTTTGGAAATTATTAAAAAATATTGATCTACATTGTAAAATGTACACTAGCTTTGTATACGTATATTGGGAGAAAAAAAATTTATTTTCGTGATTTAACACCTATATATTATTTTTAATGTTGACTAAGTTGTCTCTGGATGATTCGGTGATAAATCGGTCTCTGAAGAGCGTCACAACAGTGTACATGCAGACTGCTCGAGCGGAGAATACTGCTGATCAGACGAATGACCTTCTGTCTGTATTCCTGGATTGATCATCGATTAGTAATGTTTGAAAGCAAGATTTGTATTCATTGTTTAATGTCTGTAGTGTGTGACGGTAATTGATTACATAAGGTCCTTCTCTGAGAAAGCACATTTTACTCATTCATGATATTCTTAGTAAAAAATTATTAAAAATAATAAAAATATTACAGACCATAAGTCATAACCGTTCTTATGTATTTAAAAAAGTGATACTATTCAAACCGCTATAAAAATCTCTACAAAATGTTTTCAAATTGTTGGTCGAGGTATCGATCATTGTTGTCGCGAAATTATATTTTCCGCAGAAAGTTTAAACAATTTCAAAGTAAACAACGAAATGACTTCAAATGGAATGAAAAAATTGACAAACTTTATCAGATGTAACGCTGGAATGAAATTAGAACCACATTACGCAAAGCAGTTATCTGAAAAAATGAAGTCTTTAAGTGAATATTACAAAACTGACCGACAGATTAGCTCAGTCGGATAGATGCCTCGCTTGGCGGTCGTTTATGGACCAAGGGTATAGTACCCTTGGTTCGCGCCCATTTGGCTTGGTATTTTTCCGGCATGTGAGACAATCTGAGCGGGAGGTTTGACGGCGAGGTATAATGATGTGCACCGTCGATTATTGTTCGGTACACACCATTAGAACTCGACTGTCGATAAACCGGTTGTACTCAGGAGAGGTTTTCTACAGTTTCCCTCTCCACTGGCGAGAAAACCCATTAGACGGGTGGTCCAGGCAAATGCGAGTACTCCTAATTTTCAAGTCGCTCTGTAGGCGCAAAACTTAGTATTAGAAAAATGTATATAAGAAATATTATGTAAGAGAAAATGTAAACACACTTGTATAGCTAGATAAGCTTAAGACGGGTGTATAAACCAAATAAATAACAGGGATGCCAGCAGGCGGAGGATTTTCGATCCCACCACGCCGCCACTTTTACCCCCACTATACCTACCGGCGAAGGAAACGGAGAATACACGGCAATGATAGCCTTTTTCTGTTATAAAGGTGAATACTAACCTAAACTGGGCATAATGTGTGCTGAAACTGTTCTGACAAATTTTCAATGTCGGTCAATGAGCTTGGATTCGACTGCATATTTTTCAAACGTTCACGCCGCAATTGCTTAGTAAGATTTTCTCGATTTGGAACTTGTGACAAAATACCAGACGAAACTGTGTGCAACGCCGTTCGTAACAGTTGAGCAGGAGAAGCTTCTGGGTATTCGGCAGCCCTTCTTTTTAATGATGACACTAATTTTTCTGCATTCACTCCCTCCTAATTTGCTGCATGATTTTCGTGCTTTGATTTTTCAGGCCCTTTTATAACATTAATTACATTTCCGTCAGATTCAGTAATAGCACGAGCCGCACATGCCGGATATCGCCGACACCTCCAAAAAATGCGTCCATTTTTTCTGAATGTTTCTGATACAAAAATCCTTCAATGTGTAAAAGGATGAATTGGGAAATGTGTCCACCAACGCCACAACAATCATATATTATTAATATCAATATTATCAATTTCGTGAAAATAATGACAAAAACATTTTTGACTCGATTTCGAAACTTTTACAAAAAGGAATAGTATAAAAATGCACACCTACAAAAGATCAATTTATATCAAGATATTTTTTTGAATCTAAAATCAGACGGAACTTGTAGATTTATTCTCAATCGCAAAAAATTAAATAAATTCATTCAGACAACCCAATTTAAACTTGAGGACTATAGAACGGCTATTGGCGCCTCATAGATTCTGACGGTCTTGTGGCAACTTTAGATTTACATGACGTTTTCAATCTAGTTTCCGTACATAAGTCTCATAGAAAATTTAAGATTTGAATTCCACAATTAATTGTATGAGTTTACCTGTTTGCCTTTCGGTATATGTTCAGCTCTTCATGTGTTTCCAAAAATCATGAAACCGGTTATCTCAAATTTTACAATTACGGCATCATTTTAAAGAAATGAAAGTAAAACAACAAATGAAGACCTAAAAATAAGTGAAGACTTAAACAGGCGCAAAATTAAAATTTTTTTTGTTTTATAAATGTGATAATTTTGGATCGTGATAGGGGGACTGCGACTTGATCTTTTCGGAGGGACGCACGTATAATTTAAATCGAACTTTACAAAAGGTATGTTCGTTCAATTTAACAAATGTTGCTTCATATAAAATACAATTGACATATGTTAAATTTAGCATAAATATTATTTGACATCACAAATAAATTAATAATTAAATGAATTAAATATTCTTTTATCATTAAAAAGAGGAAAAATTAATTACCAACAATAAAAGAAAATTAAATTAAATAAACAAAAAAATCTCGTTGCCATGACGCGATTTGAAAAAAAAATCTCGAAAATCTGGTTGACATGATATCTTCAGACAGAACAGACGGAATCAAAAAATTCAAACAGATTATTAAAATATAGGTAAGTGGTTACAGCCAGAACTAAAATAAAAAAATTTCATTGAAAAATAACAAAATGTCGGACTTTTTACTTTTTTAAACCTTCTTTTGCAACTAAAATTGTTTAAAAAACAGGTTAAAAATTATAATTTTAGTTCAGGCTGTAACCACATACCTATATTTTAATGATCCGTTTGAATTTTTTGATTCCGTCTGTTCTGACTGGAGATATCATGTCAACCAGATTTTCAAGATTTTTTTTCAAGTCGTCATTCTTCAAAATACGTGCAAAAGACCCAGACTGCCCCCTTAATGGTCCTTATAACAATGAAAGACGACCACTCACATTTTTCTCCGTTCAAGTGACAAATTCAAATCAAATTTTCAATACAGCACCTTACCCAACAACTTCCATCAATGAACCTCGAATTTCATCAAGCGTTTCCGACAACATTGTTATCCATGCACAGTTCCTCAGAAATTTTTTTATTTCTGTTTTATTTGCAGGTGGAGCAGCTTGTGAAATTGCTTGAATGGGTTGTTCTTGAGGTTCATTATATTCCGAGCAAACATTATGGCCTAGATATTAAAGATATGTTTATTCGAAGAAACACTTATAAACGGAGCTTGTTAATCCATGTATTTGAGACCTCGGATCGAAGAACTCGACCGCCGCGCGGTCTAAAGGGATCATGGCAGATCCATAATCACAGAAAGTGATTAAATATGCAATAAATCATTTTATAATGTAAATCTAGATGCACTGTTTGTAATTATGAATGCTCTTGGGCGAAATGCATAAAATCGCGTAGAAAACCGTATGGCTCCATTGAGTCAGGAACTATATAGACTATAATAATATCTCACGACCATTTTGGCTCGCACCTCAATAATAGTTCTGTGGTAGTAAACAAAGAACTTGAATTGAAAAATTTTGAATTCGCTGGAGAGACTCTTGCGGACGTATGGAGCAAATTGGTAATTGTCGGGTATCCAGTAGTCTTACAATATGTCAAGCCAGAATGTTTTGCTGAAAAACTAAATATTGTATCACCCAAATGGTACAATTTACATGAGCAGTAGAGTCAATACTTTCTGTAGGTTTTGAATTATAATACTTGAATCACAAATTATATGTTGTTTCTGATTTCTAAGAAAGAGAGAATAAATCAGTAACTTATAACGTCTTAAGGATGCTAGATAGTCAAATTATTTTCTAACTAATGGGATTTTCTAGTCAGTCTACATGCCACCAGGACCCTTGTTGGATTTAGGTAAATTATATTAGATATTATGTGTAAATATCCACATATATTTGAAGAATTTTATTATTTACAATTTTTAACGTCAAATTTAAAAATGGAAAGTCAAATCACAGACTGAGAAAGGAGTACGATGTCAACAGTTTTACAATCTCGACTATTTTAAAAATTAAGGAAAACTTAAAACATGTTTTGAAGATTTAAATGCTTTTGGCGGTAATGTACAACGAAAAAGAGCCAACAAACCGGAATGTGAAATTCTAAAAACGGTCGTCTATGGTTGGTTATGCCAGAAAAGGACCATCGGAGAGCCAGTGAGTGGTCTAATTCTACAGGAAAAAGCTAGGATTTTCCATTCAACTTTAAGACCAAAGACATGAGTGTAAGGTAAGTGATGGCTCGTTGTCTAGATTTAAAGAAAGGTAAAATCTTCGTACTCTTCAACCAAAAGGAGAGAAAGCCTCAGCTGATACCGTAGGAAGCCAGAACATAGTCTCAGAATTTGATCAATTTCTTGAAAACAACCATTACGAACTTGATAATGATTATTATGTTGATGAGACTGGGCTCAGTACAGTGATTGAGATAACATTTTTTAATTTAAATTCAAACTCCTTAGTTCTTAAACATCTAAATCTTAAACGTTATCAAATCAAAGTCAACCAAGTTCATAGGCATTTTTAACAAAATCTTCAGATCCCTCAAAATCTATTTCACTTGAAGACAGTAAATTATACGATGAAGAAATTAGCGAAGCTTCACACTTGTCGACGAGTAAGAATAACGAGTTTTTTGTTTATTGCTTTGATATCCAATTTAATTGTATTGTAGTATTATTTTTTGTAACGGTCCCTGAAGTTGACATCGATCCTCAGCATCGAAAAATATTTTTTTACGAAACCCAAAAAAATCACTCAATTTTTCTGACTTATACTACCTCTTCACTGAGAAATATTATTAAATATTAATATTTTATTATATTATTATTAATATTAATATTATTATTTAAATATTAATATTTAAATATTAAGGTAAGGAAGGCTCAAAAAATTTAAAAATGAAGAAATGATAATCAAAAAATGTTGGGGGAGGATTTGATGATACTTCGACTAAATTTCAAAGCTCAATAATTTCAAATATTATCCCTCTGAGAAACAGTGAACATCGCAAATCGTCTTTTTCTAAAGACGTTCTTAGAAAAGCTTTGTCAACTGCTTGTTTATAGATATTTTCGGATAAAAAATTACTGAATTTTACTAAAATGAAACTTAATAATGTAATAATTTATTTGAATAAATTTACTCTATCTAAATTTCCAAAAAAATACAAAGTAATGTTTTTCTTTACACTTTAAACCTTAACTCTTCCTTAAAGTGTAATTTTCTGAAATTAGTAGAACGACTAAAAATTTTATGAATTTAAATGTTAGACTCGATTTAACAACTTGGCTTAAACTCGTCACGATTAACGAAATGCTAAAAAAATTCGAAAAGGTTTTAAGTTTTTTACACACTTTTAATAGTTAGCTCTATTTATTAAGACCTAAAATAAAATGGTAAATTTCATAGTCACAGATGAGAATAAGAAATAAAAATAATGAATAGAAAAATGAATTTTGTTGAATTTATGAATAGAATTTCAAATTACTTTCTAATTAAAAATTACATAGGTTTTCAATATTTGTTTTATCAGTTATTATCTGGAGAATTTGTTTTTTAAAAAAAAGGTCAATATTTAACGGGTTTTGATATAAACTATTTGATCTTGTATTTTTTATAATAGTTCAGTGCATTTCATCTATAAATAAATGAAACCTTCATTATTTGATTTATAATAATAAATTTAGTAATTAACAATAGTTTTAACAAAAAATGTTTGTTTTAATTTTCAGTCGCAATGATACAATAGTCGTGTCACAAACAGAACTTTGTTATATTTAGACATAAGCTTATACCTATATTAATTATATACATACAAGCTATTATAATACTACCTGTTTTTATGGAATTTTGGATTTCTTTCGTATATTACTTTTGTTTTAATTTCGTTGTATATAGTGAAAAGATTATCATTTTCTAAAATGAATATTTTTACTTTAGTACATCTTAAGAATAAATTTTTTCTTTGCATGAAGAATAAATTCAAGTAGACATTGAAAATTAATTTTTTAATTGAAAACATATTGTGCTTTTATGGCCATATGAGTGAGTTATTTAAAAAATCATTTATTATTTACTAAATTTTCGGACAAGATATTTAAAGATATGTAAGATCTGACAATTCTTACAGATAAAAGGAAATTAGCTCTAACGCTTTTAAGATTCGATATAATATCCTGTAGATTAACATAACATAAAATAATTTAGATCATTATTATTATTATTATTATTATTATTATAAAACTTAATGTCTACAATTTTCTGTATCTCTTTGTAGAATAAAGAGATGCAAGGAAAAATCAATAATTGAAATTTATCAAAATAATTAGTATAATTATCTTACTACAAAACTGTAAAAATTTCTTTCTTTCTAAAATAAATATAATCAACTTAAAAACAACAAATAAATAATACTTACTGTAAAAGAAAGTTTCTAAATTTATTAATATTATAAATATTTGAAGTTTTTAGCATATATAGTAGGAATAAAAGGCATTAAAGAATTTTATTAACTTAGCATTTATCGTATCCATGTTATATTGTTAACTTTTTCGAGAAATCAAATTAAAATTTATAAAGAATCAAAATTGATTATTTAATAAGTGTAGTTAACCCTAGACTGCCTTAGTTATTTTAGTACCCCCAGTCAAATTTAAATTATATAATTTTTTGGCTACTTTTTGAGCATTTAATTTTTTGACTACATTCTTTAAGATATTAAATAAGAAAAAAGTCCATTCTCTGTCTTATTATAAAACAAAGAAATCATTTTCTCTAGGATAATTACCCTAAAGTTAAAGAAGTTTATTTTTAATTTATATTACATGATTTTTTATTGGAATGTATTCTATTTTCTATAGACTTTTATATTATATCTTGCAAAAGATAGTGAGCACTATGAGAATTTAGGCATACAAATTTATAATTAATAAGATTATGAAACGCCTTTTACTTATATTATATATGATTTTAAACTTTAAACATTCATAATAAAGTTGATTATTGATTAAATAAATAATACAGACAATTTTATTTTTAACAAAAGAAATAAATTATTATCTACTTTAGTTTATTTTCTATTATATAATTATTAAAATAAAAATTTTAACGTTGATAAAATTGTTAATATGTGAGTTTCTTTATATAAACATTTTCATAAACAATTAACTATTCTCTTAGTGTTTTGTCTTTTAGATGAAGCTATTTCTTCACGCTATATGAACATTCTGAACGTGATGTTGATTAATTCCTGCCATGAAATCCTCGCGAAGAATTGGAACCACTGTCGCCCCTGCAGCTGCTCTCCTAAAACAGTAATTTTAGAAATACTCTTTCAAATTAATTTGTAAGTTAATAGAATATAATACTAGCATACTACAATACTATAATATACGTAATTCTACGTAAGATTTACCTATGACCCTCTAAAGCAAGTGTTTATCGTGAATTTGTGTATTTTGGGAAGAAAATTTCTTTGTCTATCTTTTATCGCAAATGAGCAGGCTTCTTTTCACATAAATATAAAAAAAAAATCTTGCAGATAATGAAAGCTTAATTGTATGCGATTTTGCAGAAAATTATGTCTTCATAATTCAAAATTTAGTTCTTGGATTTCACTTGAATAATAATCAAGCTACAATATTATAATATAATATAAAATATTATATTATTACAATATTACAATCAAAGAAATAATTTCGTAGACCATAAAACCTTGATTATTATTTCAGATTGCTTAAAACATGACGCTATTGCTGTTTTCGTTTTTCTTCAAGCATTCAATGAATATATTTCTAAAAATCACGTAAACATTCGCAAATGTATGTTTCTCAGAAGGAGCACTTCAACAGTTTAAAAATATTAAACATTTTGCGAATGTTTATTATCATCAACAAGATTTTCAACGTTCGGCAATTTGGCATTTCCACGAAACAGCCCAAGGAAAGGGCCTTGTGATGGAGCTGGTGGAACATTAAAAAGAATGTCACGAAGAGCTAGTATGCAAATGCGTTGATCCTCAAGGTGATTTTTTGTTAAAAATGAAAAAATACTCTTCTTCTGACGACTTCGAAGTAGTAAGTTTCATTCAATCTGAAACCAAACGTTCAACTAAATCTAAACGTCAAACTAAACGGAAATTGTAATTGATCTGCGTTTTCTAACAAAATAACGAGTTTTAATGTGTAAACCTTTTTAGGTTAAAAGTTGTAACTTTCAGTATTATTAGTTGTAATACACAGAAATGTAATAAATTTGAAGTTAAAAAATGTAAAACTAAATCTAAACGTCCAACTAAACGGAAATTGTAATTGATCTGCGTTTTCTAACAAAATAACGATTCTTAAGGTTTAAACCTTATTAAGTTAAAAGCTGTGATATTCAGTATTATTAGTTGTCACACAGAAATGCAATAAATTGAAAGTAAAAAGTGTAAAACTGACTTAAAGTACATTCCTCTTAAAGCTTTATAAACGGGCACAGCCTAGCGCGCGAACACCTTGCAAGCGATTTTTAAATATTTATTTGAACTCATTAAACTCAATCGGCCCATCTCGGGACTTTTTGGAATATTTTCTGTATATTTAGAGAGTCATAGGTAAATCTTAAATGGAATTTCCCATATATATGTTACGATCAAAACGCAATTTAAAATTCGATGTCGCAATTAAAAAATAGTTAAACGTTCATCAATAAGGGAAAATATATTTTTTTCGCAACCCCAATTGTGAAACAATTAAAATCAGAACAAAAATTTTAAAATTTTGCGAAATCCAAAGGAATCATTTGCACTTAAAAGTTACGAATTATCATAAGATTGCTCAAGAATGGTGTGGTGCTCCATAATCGTTTAGACTTAAATTACCAATAAAGTGCAAGGTGGCATTGTTTTTGATTAAGCAAACAGGATTTATTTTCAAACGAAATAATGCAATTGTCTACTTTTTGGAGAGTCAGTTCGATTGAGCAGTCTGAAAGGTAGTTATCCGCGAGGACGAACTTATTAAGTGACAGTTAGAACTCGCGAAAATCAGCTTAAACAGGCAAAAGGTCAAGGGACGCCTCCCATAATGAACAATCCGTAAGTTACTTATATTTTGTGGCGAAGTAATTTCGTCGAGATTGTCTCTCTTTTATTTTTCTTACTAATAACGTTAATTTTTATAAATTCAAATTTTGCGCGTTAATTTTGACTTAATGTCAAAGAGAGATGTAAACTCCCCTTTAATTAACCAATGGTTTCGGCGTTTCGCGGAAAAATGTAACAGACGACCAAAACACGTTTTCAATATAGTTTGATTTTGGATGTTTATGAGAGAGGACGTTGAGTTGTTGCTGTAGAGTAGACAAGGGAGAGTTGTTAAAGTATTCTTAAGTTAAACATTTTTCTTTTGTTACACGACAAGTAAGAGCGATTGAAGTTTTATTATTAAAGTTGTATTATTGACTATATAGTTTCTTTCATTATTGTTGTGCATATGGTTGAGAAGTATAGAGGAGGTGATGTGAAATTAAATAAATTTGGTAAGTGAATGTTTCTGTTTTACAAGAGTCGTTTCTCGAATAATCAAGTTTCCCTTCAAAATTAATTTTCCCGACGGAATTCCCTTTGAGATATTGTTGTGGGATTTGTTGATATTTATTAATTAAAGACTTGATTATTATTTTTGTTAGTTTTTCAATATAAAATTAACTGGCGTCTGGCCGCCACGTTGGTGCTAAATATTTTTGATTTGTGACGAATAAGGGAAAATGATTAATTGATCTTTGCATAATTTTTGTATTTAGCATTAAAAAACAGTTATAATTTATTGTGAAAAATCAAATAAAATTGCATTAAATGATTTATTCAGGAATATATTGCTAACATTGAATTTTATAGTTTCAATTGAAATTTTGAAAAGAAATTATGTTTGTTTTATACTAAAGATGAAGATAATAGTTTGATGGAATTATTAAGATTATTATCCATAGTTTATATTATTGTTACTTACGTAGTATCGATTTATGTGTAATGATGGTTGTATTGTATTAACCATAAAATTAATTGTCTGATTTACAACAAAAATAGAGATCTTGTAAAAACTAATTTATGAACACAATATACATATGTTGTAATTTCTACCGCTCCTGGTTCCTATTCGTTATTTCAGTTTAATAAAGCATAACTAAATCAATAGCTTGAATAATAAGCTGGTAAAGAGGGATTCCGTATCTAATTTAAATAAAATTTATAATACATACATAAATTATATTTTTGTTTATAACAATATATACATCGAATTTTAATAATTTATCGCTAAGATAGATTTCGCCAATCCAGTTGTTATTATTTTGTACGTCAGAATTAATTATCTAATGAATGGTTTTAGCATCATTTAAAAATACCGATTTATTAGTACTTTCCTCTTCAGTCTCTTTTACTTAAATTTAAAATTACTTCTCATAATTATTATTATTCACATTCAAAAGAACTTTCACATAATTTGGAGTAGTATTAGTGCTTAAATACTCACTGCGTATGTAATAAACCGTGAATGGCTGGTGACAAAACTTGATGTTGCGTGTGAGATTGTAGAATGGTTTGACGTTGTGTTACAGCAGTGTGTGGCGGAACTGACTGAGGAGCAAGTTGCAGTTGAGAAATCTGAGGATTGCCAACATTACTTATTTGGGAAGTTTGTGTTGTAGATTGAAGTCCAGCAGTCGGAAGTTGAAGCGAAGCTTGTATTAAAGGTGCAGTGGGTTGCGTATGTGTCGTAGCAATTATGGATGCTGTAGTTTGTAGTGGTTCTTTGTTCTGCGCTGCACGAGCTCTAGCAAGAAGAGACATAACCGTTCTTTTTGTAGGTGACATTGCAGGCCTTCCACCTGGAAGCAGGGGTCGCTTTCGTCCACCTATTAAACAGCATCATAAGTTCCCTTTTTTGAAGACGAATACATTTTGTTTCTTAATATAGTTTTTATTTTAATAAAAGAAATGCAATAAAGTAAATGTGGGTATTATTGAGGAATTTTCAGAAATCCTACATTCAAGTAGTTTACAAATTAGAAATGAATAGACACTGTTTTGATTCAAATGAATATTTAAGCTTTTATTACTTAGGAAAATTAGCAATGTTATAAAAAATGATCGTTAAGTAAATTATTAAATATAAAACATATACACTTATAATATCGCAGGACTTAGGGATAATTCCACCAACATCACTTAAAAGTTAATCAATAATTAAAGACAGTTTAAAAGTTTATGATTGTTTGATTGAGGATTAAATCATTGATTAACTTTTAATCAGTATTATTGAAACTGGCCATTAGTATGTCCTAAGAAGATTAGAGATAATAATAATTAATTATTATTATTAATTATATGGTAATCAAGTTTAACTAATTCATGTGTTCATTTATATTCAAAAGAAGCTACATATGATAATCAATTGTCGACCAAGAATTATATTACTCTTCCTTACTGTGGTCGATGCGTTATCAATCCGTATAATGAATATTCATATTAGAATTAATTATAAAGAGATTGTAAGAAAGAACACCATATTTTTATACAATTAAAGATAATGCGGTATACCGATAATGCAACATAGAGAAAAAGTTTATGTAATTAAATATACAAATTAATTATTTAACGCTTACGTAATAATATTAATTAATGGAAAAATATCAAATAATGGGTAATCATGTTTCTGACACCTGTATAAAAAGTCATATATAAATAAAATAGTCAGTATATAACAAAGTATGTCGTAAACGGATAAACTTTGATCGCTGATAAATAGTTCAATAACAAGATCAATAATTAAATTGACTAATTGTGACAAATTAAGAACAAATTGATCCACCTTTTGAACTCTATAAATTTTATCAATATTAAATTAGATCAGCTCACAGTTCAAAAGAGTATATAAATCTCAAATAAATTCTGATGATTGTCAAATACTCCGGTGTGTTTCTGTCTGAACAGGAGAAAAGAAGTGTTATAGGAAGTTTGTTTCTGTTTGTCACTGGCTGCGGCCATATTGAATTAAAGACCCTAACTGAATTGCTGGTGACTGTAGATAATAAGGCGTTCTGTTTTATCGGCCAAAGCTAATTATCTAGTGCGGATAAATGAAAACTGTAAAAATTGAAAATCACGTAGTACACGGAGAGAAAAATCAAGCGTTTTTAGTATGGACAGTTAACCTTATTTAGTAAAAGAATTCACATGCGCAATAGGCGTAAAATTTCTGCTGTATTTGTATGAATTTCTACGTTATCAGCATAAAAGTTCTACCTTTAAACGCATGGGGCGTCAGTATACTACGATTGCAAGAGATCTATGCTATTTTAGTATATGTTTCATGCAACTGAGGTATAAAAACACGCCTTTTAAGCAGGGCGTTCATACAAAATTACCATAGGAAGTCTCCATACTAAAAACGCTTGATTTTTCTCTCCGTGTACGCATGGGACTCACCATAGCTAAAACGAAGCGCGCGTGTAGCGACTTATTATTAGTAGGATGTCTGGACGAGGAGCATTAAGAGGTCGGCGTCGCGTCGCATCGTAGGCGTAGGTGAGTCCTATTGACTTCTTATTTTTATTGTAAATTTATTGTTAAAAATTTCGAATGTTGAAAATGATGCTTGTCGCTGCATTGTTATGTGGTAAATTTTGAATTCTAAAAATTCGGCCTTTTGCCGAATAAATAAATTGTTCCATTAATATTAAAATTTAAAGTAAATTGAATAACAATAATTGTGATAATTATAAATTCAGTGACAGTGTAATAATTAATGTGTTGATCTCCTTACCCTCCCTTCTCTCAGCAGTTTGTAAGGAATTTTCCTAACAATTCCTGAATTAGTCTGGCTTAATTACGTGTTCACATTATAATATCAATAAAAATTTTTCTACAAAGAATTATCAAAATTAAATTAATTTTGCTCTGAAAAAACGAGTTGCTTGTCAGAATGCACTGTGTATCTGCGAGGACTCAAATTTATCGATATAATTATCGAGTGATAAATGAATAATTTAATAGAGATTGAAAATTTTAAATGTTTTGAACATATTCGTGTTAAAAAAAAACTTTATCAGTGTTAATTTATTTGTTTACAATACTTACCTAGAGTAGAAGTAGAAGTTTGCAGCACCGTACCTTGGGTTTTTAGTGCTGCTGGATTTGGCGGTGAAGGTGTTGGCCTACTAGGAGTGTCGTCTTGTCCATCAATTGAGTTAGCCGTAGTGGCTGCAGTTGGCGAACTAGCAGCTTCTAAACTTGATGCTGGACTTAATGGAGCTTCTACTGCTTGAGATCCCTCTCGATTTTGAGTATTTAAAATTTGCATCTCCCACATTTGCTCCTGTCTAATATCATCATTGTAATCCTAAAAAACATGAATTTTAATGATTCATAAATATTTGCTGCAGCTTACAGAGTCTTTAGTAGTGCTAAAATATTAGAACATATAAACAGTTTATAAAAATTAATTTAAATAATAAAATTTTACATTAAATTAATTATTTAATTATAAATTTAAATTATAGTTTATTAAAAGCAGGGTAATTTCGAAAAGATGTGATAAATTTTAAAATCACATTTTAATTACACGTATGAATAATATTTGCAGAACTGAGGAGTAAGCGGCAAAAGTAAATAAGTCTATTTTATAAAAGACAGTTTTACTCAACATTTTCCGTGAATGGTAATTAGATAAATTTCCAGAAAGTCAATGTTACATTAAAAATAATATCTTATTGTAAAGAATTATATTAGTTTAAAAATATGAGGACTCAACCAACATGCTTTAAAATTTTAGTTTCTTCAACTAGAACAAAATGCCCAAAACTTTAAAATTTATTTTGTATGATCCACTTTAATTAATATCAAGACCGTTAAGTCCAAAAAAATATTTTGATATAATTCATTCAGTATAATTATTCTACTTTTTAATTAACTTTAATTATTATGTGCCAAATTGAATTTGTTTAAATTTCTCAAAATAATAAAATATGGACTTATCCACTTTTGGCCGCTTACTCCTCAACTATTCATACACATTTTCTCATGGTATATTCTAAAATGAAAAAAAATTCTTATATGTGAAACATGTTCTAGAGTAGAAACGTTTTTCTAAAAGCTCTGTCGCGTGTAAAAGGCTTCAGAATCCTTAACAAAAATTGCAAGTACGAAAAGCAATAAATGAAAAAATTCTCGATCAAAGAATTGAGTGTGGATTTAACTTTAAACGAAAGTTTAATCTTTTAATGAAATAGACACTTGTAAAAAGAAAAGATTCGAATTTCTAAAAAGTCATTAAGTGAAGTATCATTTGAATCCAAATTTACTTAAGTATACACTCTTAAATAGTATATTTGACCACAATATTGCATCAACATTTATTATGTTCGCCCTATGAAAATATTAAATTATAATAATTATATATGACGCTCTTTAAATGTTTAACAAAATACCGATAATAAATCAATTGAATTCTACATTAAATAACTATTAAAATGAGTCCAAAAATGATAAAAAATATTAGTTAGCTTTGGAGAAATTGAAAAATTTAAGAAACGCAAGCAAAATGGACAATATGAGTGAAAAAACACATGTTAGAATGTTGACCACTAATATTGTAGAATCTTTTATTCTTATATGTTTATTAAAATATTATTTTACCGGAACTAGAAATCTTCGAACTTCTGCTAATGCGTATGCAATTCTTGCATGAGCTTCTGCAGGCGTTGCGTAAGCCGAAATTTCAACATGTAGATCTTCCATTAAATGCGAAAATTTTGGATCTCCGCTTACTCGCAGTTCCTCTTCCTGCAATAACATTTCTTTTATTATTATTTTAAAATATATTATTTCTTTAATTGTTTAATCATATAAAAATATTGGTCATTTTAATATAGGTCGTAGTAATAAATGACTTTACCACCTATGTCAGGTGTAGTTGCATCCAAGTCTAAAATATCAATGTTGTCTCCTAGTTCTTCGATTTCAATGAAACTTGGTAAAATTGTAATGAATACATGCAAATGAAATGTTTAAGGTAATTTTATTAAATATTTGTTCGAATGTTAGTTTGATCGAATTTCCAAAAGTTCGAAAGACTATTTGTTCGAATGTTTATTTGTTAGAATTTTCAAAACTTGTTTACTTGTTAGAATGTCTCAAAATTTGGAATGACTAGTTTTTCGAATAGCTAAAAGATGAAATATTTATTTGTTACAATTATTAAAAGATAGAATGTTTATTTAATAGAATTTCTAAAAGTTTGAATGTTTATATGAAAGGATGTTTAAAAGTTCGAGGGTTTATTTGTTTAAAATTTGAATTTTCAAAAGTTTAAACGTTTATTTGATCGAATATCCAAAAGTTAGAATTCTCATTTATTAGAATTTTATTTAAGCAGTGAGTTCACTTTCTATTGTATGCTTAATCATAAACCACTGAATAACATGACCTTAATGACAATTCACATCACATCTATGAACATTTTTCCTAAATGGTAATTCACATCAATGACAAAAGTCGTAAAAGTAGACTTTCGCACTTTAAAAGGTTCGATCAATAAACATTTGAAAACTTTCAAAAATCCGATAAATTAACATTTGAACGATTTCATTAAAATCGAAGAACTCGGAGACAAAATTGAAATTTTAGACCTTCGGTGATCTTTATAGGTCTTAAAGTATTAAGTTAGTGATGCTTTTTTGATTAATGTTCTATTTATTTCGTGGATAAATTAATACGATATTTTGAATAGTCATGTTTTATCTGTTAGTTGAAAATTTCTTATTTTCTGTTTAATGTTTTTAATTAAATAAAAAAATAATAACAAAATCAAAAATAAAGCAGAACAACCTTCAATATAAGCCATTAACCCCTTTACAGTCCAGTGAAAATAAAGTATTTAGTGCCATAAATGTTCAAAAATGTTTTCTTTTTAAAAAAACACAATATTGTCATATTATGTTTTTTGGGTCGCTGAATCCGAATTTCTGATAGAGAATAAAATATTTTAAATGGCGGCATTAAAGTGTATATATATACGTCACGGATGGTGTAGATCAATGATTGTAAGTATCTTTTCAAAGTTTGTTAATACTAGTAAGTATTTTGGGTCATTGAATTCGAATCTCTAGTCTGATTTTAAGAATTTTGAGTTTTTAACTCAATTTGGCCGCCAAAAATGTTGAAAAATTTTAAAAATCAATGGCTGACCCTGGGACATTTGTCATTTTATGTACGAAGATGACCATACACTGGAAAAAAAATTAAACTAATCCTGAGGAGTGTAAAACTTAAAAAAGTTGACACTCATCAGGTTAAATTCTAAAGAGAAGAGTGTGAATTAGTTAAAGTTTTACACTCCTCAGGGTAAGTTTAATTGTTCTTTTATCTTCGTGTGGCAATACTAAAGTTTTAATTTTAAAATCTTTTAAAAATACATGAAATAATTAATAATTTTTTCTGTGAATAATGGGCCGAATTGTATTCCGCGAGTTAACGTGATAAATCTACCTTCTTATATACTATTCTAGTTCCTTGTTGGTTGCGAGAAACTTAAAAATTAGCTCACCCTATGCGGCGCTGAGCATACTAAACATACAGCGCATGTTGATTTGCGCAGCGCGGGTGTATTTGAAACAGTTAAAAGACAATTAAAATAAAATAAAAAATTCTAATTTAAAATAAGTGATCATAGTAAAAGTGCAAATATTATTTTGATCAAATATGTTAGATTGTCTAAAAATATCTATAAATAAATAACTGAATAAAAATATAGCTTTTTAGGCACTATAATATTTTTATCACTGACTGATTTTTATTTTTATATTTAATACAAAATATGTATTACATATTACAATTTTAAATGATGTTTAAAAATATTTAATTTATTGATAAATTAAATGTTTTTTTATTAAAAAAAAGCTTAACTGATATATTATATTTTTTAAACTATTTGATATTATATTTCAAATATTTCTTTGCTAAAAACAAAAAAATTTTGATAAAAACTGTAAATTAAAAATTTATTGTCAATCTCTCTAAATTTGAATTGGTTAAAAATAACTAATTTGATAGCAAAAAATTGATTATATTTATTTAGTTATTTATTTACTATTAATTAGTGATTTTCAACTAATTATTTTTTTTAATTATAATTTTTATATTTTATTTTATTTTATTAAATATATAATTAAATATTTTATTTTATTTAAATTAAATTTAAGTATTCAAATAAAAACTAATTAGTTATTTTTTACTAATTGCTGAAGCAAAAACTCAGTCACGATTTTACTAATAATTCGTAATTTTCATCTAATTCAGAATTAGAGAAATTACCTTTATACATAATAAATTTTCTTAATTAATAAAATTCAGTGAAATTTTCAAATTATCTCCATTTATAAAGTGTATAAATAAAAAAACAGTTTTGTAAATATTTTCTTTTATTATATTTAAAAATAATGTCTTCAGATTATGGCTCACTTAAGAAATGTAAACAAAAAATAATTTTGGATGTTCAAATAAACGAAATATAATTATTAAAAATATTAAACGTTCGAAACTTTAAGATTCTTGAGAAACGTAAAAATATAAATTTAAAATATTTAGAATAAAAGAAAAGAGTTTTTAAACAACAGATATTTTCAATTAAATTGAACTGAATATTAACTAAAAACACAATAAATTTAAATTAACGATTTTGTATAATTAACAAATAGTTTTGATGATCAAATTCTCTTATTCCAGTCGATTCTGTTTCACGTTGTTTTAGTGGTCTTTTATTTGCAGGTGATGACTTTCCTAAAAAATATAAAATATAATTATTACATAATTCAGAAATATGTTAAAATTATCAAAATATTTATTATTTACATTCCTTGAAAAAAAGAATTAAATTAAAAAAAATTTTCTTTCAATTTTAAATGTTTTTAAACCTGCAAACTTATATTGAAAAAATACCTCTATTTTTAAAAAATTATTACAAATTTTAATATGTGAACTAAAATGACGTAGATGTTTGAAACTAAAACAATTAAATTGAAATGTGATTAATCCTATCTGTTGATTTTTAGAAGAATTTTAGTTTAATATAATTGAACATATTTTATTTTTTAATTTAATCGATGTGAAGGAATTTGAATGCATGTTTTTCTTCTTTTATTTGTAAAACGATGTATTTATGTTTTATCTCATTTACTGCAACCATTTGTATTTTTGTATTCTCTTCGCCCAATTTCCAAACTCCTATTTTGGATGATTCACAAGGATAGTTAAATGAATCTCCCTCACATTTAATTTTGTACCCTGCAATAATAACTGTTTCATCAGTTTTCTGAATCTGATATACTCTAAAAAACTCATTATTTTTTTGTTGCACAATATTGTCTGGTTGCCTTGTTGTAATTTTTAAATTTGTTAATAGTATACTCGTAATTTCTCTTGTGGATTTATTTTCTTCTTTAATAATTAAATTCTCTCTTTTTCTAACTACATTATTGACTGCAAGTTTAATATCTATTAATTGAGGGCAATAATCAATTTCCGAAATTCTTTTTATAAGCTGCGGAATTATATCCTTTCGGCCTTTTATCAGAGACTTTAGTTGACCCAGACAATTTTCAAATGGAAATGCTGATAATTCAGATAATGATTTTTTGGTTTCTAATACATCATCTGCTACGTGTATCAAATTGTGATGATTTAGAGTTTGTGAATCTTCACCGAAAAATGTTGGAAGTAAATTAAAGAATTCTTAAAGAAGCATTTTTGCATACTTTACGTGTGTCAAGGCAAGTTGTTTTGAGCATAAAATATGGCAAGCAACAAATAATAACATAAAATGCTTGTAACAGTCTTTCGTTAAAATATGTTTGAAAACAATGCAACTGCAGTAAAGTAAAACAAATCGATATTGAGTTGCTTTCTAATGCGTTAAATTTTCAATGTCCAACGTTTTTCTTTGAAACTCAAATGGAATTCCCAAAGATGCACTCTCCAGACCTGATACGAAAGAGGCGCCCTTAAATAGTCCTGGCAGTTCGTATGCTAAGACCGTTTTAAAGGACGGAGCGGACAATGGGGACGGCTTCAAAGTTGTTAAAAGCAAAAAGAAACGGACTCCAAAAGAGAAACCCTCAGGTGAGAAAAAAGAGCTTCCGAAGCCCCCTTCGAAGCTGAGGAGCACGGAAGCTGTTAAAATTACGGCAAGCGACCCAAAGCTTTATGAGGGTATCTTGCCGCTGCTAAAAGCAAAGGTAAACCCAGAAGATACGGGTACCGTGATCCGGAAAATCAGGAGAACCTTTAAACAGGAGGTTCTCGTGATAGTGAAAAAGGGCGGAGAGACCTTAAAATTTGCAGATGCACTGTCTTCGGCCCTGCATGGTAAAGCTGAGGTCACACCTCTAGTGAATAAAAGGTCTCTAGAGATTAAGGATTTGGACGAAGCCACCTCAGAGGATGAGGTAACTGCAGCACTAAGAGAAAAGCTGGGTAAACCCGACCTGAAGATGGAGTGTCGACTTTTGCCGCGATACAGAGGAACTAAGGTTGCTCTGGTACGTCTGACAGAGGCAGAAAGTAACACTCTGCTAAAGCTTGGTAAAATAAAAATCGGCTGGATAAATGCTCCAATTCGCGAGCATGTTGAAGTAGCTAGGTGCCAAAAGTGCCTAGCATACGGACACTCAACCCGAACCTGCAAAGGCCCCGACAGAAGCAAAAACTGTCGGAGATGCGGCGGAGAGGGACACCTCGCGAAGAGCTGTAAAGTTAAGCCGAAGTGCCTTACATGCTTGGACCTGGGA